AGATGACACCTAATTAGTGATCACTACTTACATTGCACGTATTCATAAATTGTGATTTCATCTTCCAGACTTTGTTCATTATTTTAGTTATCTCACAAACATATGGGTCTAACTAAGTCCAAGGCCCACCTACCTCAAGGTGGACCCCAAAATCCCTTTTTTTTTTGGGTCAAGTACCCAAAAATGTTTTTTTTGCGATGCACTATATAAAATGAAGAAATTAATCGAATTATACAAATAAAGATAGCGTAATAGAGTCCAGAAAATGAAAAATTAATATAACAAATTTTTATAGAGAGAACAACTGGAAAAAGATTGTAGCAGGAAATTGATATCTTTTTCTAGGGTACCACTGAACTCATACAATGGATGAGAAAATTATTAAATAATTTTTTTTACATGTGATGACATTAATATGACTTCAAAACGCAGAAAATATTAAGGCAATTTAAATAACCAAATTCAGTATCAGTTTTAAATAAGAGATGTAAAAAGACGAGTATCATAATAATGCAATTTCACCCACTTGAGAGTTTAAATTTCGTCATATACCTTTAAATCTTAACTTTTCTTAAAAATACATTTTTAAATCTTAAATTTTCTTTAAAATGCATTTTTAATATATAAGTCATTTTGTAGTGTTTCACAGAAAAAAAAGCATTTGAATGTGAGTTTCTTCTCTGTTTTTTTTTTTTTTTCCCAAAAAGGTTTTTATCCACCAACTCAGGACTTTTAGACTGTGAGAGCAACATATATAATGAGTATACACCATACACACACTTAAAAATATAGCGTGTCATTGTTAAAAACAGGGTTAATACAAATTTTGGTCTTTTAAATTTATTCTCATTTTATTTTTAGTCCATTAAATTTCAAATCATAGGTTTTGGTTCATCAATTTTTTTTATTTAAAATATTGGTCCCTATAATCTAATAAAAATTTAGACCAGGAACCAAAACCTATAATTTACAATTTGATAAACTAAAACTAAAATGAAGACAAAATTAAGAAACTAAAGATCCCTTAAAAATATAAATATTGCATACATCATAATCGTTCATATCTCATAATTTTTACAAGCTTAACAACATCAATCAATCAATTATCACTTCTCAAAAACCTTAAAACGGATGAATTTTGACGCATAATTAGAATAAAAAAAAGTGTGTGTGTGTGTGTGTGTGTTATATTAGAAAACATAAAACATTAGCTGGATCCTAGGTTCACCTACTCCAATTAAATTCCTTTAATTAATGTTGAGCTCATAAAGGTTCAGTTTTTCTAAGATAGAATCTTCAAATATTCAATGCTTTTTGAGGACCAACATTATGTGATTACTTCCAAAAGCGTCTCATTTTTCCAACCTAACCTATAACTTGGTAAACACACCTTGTACAGTTAGAGAGGATGGTCCCCTCACATTAAATAATCTAAGCCATACAAGGCATCACATAACAATATGGTCCTCAATCTTTAATTAGCTCATGGTGCTCACCCCATCACAAAGTTTGCTGTCAAGTTATCATATGCGCGGCATCCTATTTACAAAAAACATAAAATCAAAGAATCATTGATAACAGAGCTCTGTCGTTTGACCAGGATGGTTAAAAAGGGTTGCCCAAGGTGTGCACCCGCTTCCAGGTCTCGGTTTCGACATCTCACCCCGTCTCGACTTAGGGGCAATTCCAGATTAGTCGGTTACCTTCGAGTGCCGGATGCTAAGGGAATTTAATTCTAAAAAGAATCATTGATAATCACATTTTTTTAATGAAAACTAAAATCCATTATTTAAATAAAAAGAGGGAATACAAGAAACAAAACATATAGCGAGTATTTAGATACTCTCATAATCATCTGTCTCTAAAAATAAAAGAGTGAGGATGATCAAAGACACAATAGTTGCTGTCAAGCTAATGAGATAACTCTACGAGTTTATTAGCCCAGGAGTAATCATCTCATATTTTATGACAAATAATAACTTGTCAATCCCTACAAATAAGTAATTTAGCTTCCTCGATAATATTTTTAAAAGATAGTGATCATCACATAATATTTTTCAATCTTGAGCTCCTGGCACTCATGGTACCAAGGTCAGTCTATTTTCAATTTTTATTTAAAAAAATGAAACAATTTGCAAAAATTATAATTACATTTATATAATTTTTATTATATTTTTTTATTGATATAACAATCATGTTTGAGATATTATAGAATACTAAATGTGGACACCTTTTTAAATAAAGGTTTTGAATATTGGCTCATCTTGATATAAGGAACTAGTCTTTTTCATAAGATTAATATCCATTGGAATGTCATATGATTTTTTTCTCAAATTTGTATTTTAGATTGTCGATTGGTTGAAGAGCCCAAGCCCAAGACCGGCGTCAAGAAACCGAGCCCATAGGGAAGCCCATCAGACTTGAAACACTTTGAACTATGTCGTTGAGTGAGCGTTTCCACTGCTTTCCCCTCCATTACAACTTTCGGGGATGACAAGGCTAGAATTTTAAATTATTTGATGAAATTAACTCCACTTTAAGATTATGTAACTACTCTTTTAAATTAATATAATATATTGCTCTACAGGGGTTAAAATATCTTCATTTAGCTGAAGATTGAGAATAAAATTAATTTAGAAAAATATACAATAGCTGATCAGAAACAAGTATAATTATCGAATGAGACTGCAGGCTTTTGATTTTCTATTATTTAATTTAATAGAAGTTTAGAAACAAAATAAAAGGTCTAAAATAACAATATTATATTTTGAGAACTTAATTTTCACATTACCACTATAAATAAAACTCTAATGAACACAAAATAAATGTTCAAAGTCCAATTTTCATAATACAAGTCCAAGCCTTGTAAATGCCGAATTAAAATGTTCAAAAGTCCAAATAATACAAATCCAAATTTTATTTCTTTGGGAATTTGAAAAACAAATGTGTTAGCATAGCCCAAGCCTATTATTTTTCGAGCTTACACAAATTAGGCTCTAAAACCCTTTTATGCTAAAAATTCTCAATTTTTTAGGCTTAAAATTTAAAAAAATGGATAAAATAATGAATCCGGCTGTATTCTTTATTTAATTATAACGAGAGCGAACTCACAAGTAACGATCACTCACACTATTTCTAATATTCATATAGTGCAATTTGAAGTTTGAACCATTGACTTTATAATACAGTACAAGACAAATCACAAGAAGTGGGACCAATTTTTACCGGCCTATAACTATAAGAATTAGTTGACTAATTTGAGTAAATTTAAAAAATAAGTTAAGTTAGTTATTTGTAATAAATAGGTGTTGTCTTTTCTAAAATATCCTTGCTAATCAAATTTATTGGCTAAAACTACCATTATCAGAGGGACTACTTTGGAAAACAATGTTAAATACGAGAGACAAAGTGGATTGGGGTCTTGTAATTAGAATCAAAATAAAAGTCAAACGAGATCTTATATTAAGAACAGGAAGTAGTATGTAAGATTTAGTTTGTAATGTAAGTTAAATTAATACTATAATTTTTTTTTGACCAGAAAGTTAATACTATAAATTAGATCTTTTATTTAGAATTGGATATAGTATTCATGAGCAGGATTCAAAGAAGAAAAACAAATGCATGGTGGAAGCAGGACAAGGGAACACAGGTGAGTATTGTAATAATATAGATGACAAAAAGCCAGTGGCTTTGTTTAGAGAAAAAGCATATAAATATATATATTATTGAGAGAGAAAAGCCTAAGGTAATCCCATATAGGGGTAGGAAACAATCCAAACAAGCCTATTGTTGTTAGAAGAAGGATGAAGATTGGTGTTGTGTGGCTGTGACCTGATCACTGCCTCTGATGGTTCAGTTTCTTCACAGCAAACCCTTCTTCTTCCTCTTGACACAAAGCATCCAAACAGCCTCCACAGCCACGCCATTCCCTCTGCTTCCTTTCTCTTATTCTTTTCCACTCTTCTTTCCCCTCTCTCTCTCTCTCTCTCTCTATATATATATATAAATATATATATATATATATTATGTGTGAGCTCCTAGCTTGCTCTTTATTAGTTGTGTATAAATTATCAACTTACTTATTAACCTTGCCCGTACATGTATGCTAACCTACGTTTCCATACATACGGATGAATATATGTGTGCATGTACGGGAATGTAGGTGCATGTATGGAGATTTGTTTTTTTAACCAATTTTAGTCGATAGTTCAATGAATCTATAAGTTTCAATTTTTATTTTTAAAATAAAAATTATTTCAAATAACATTGTCACCCGAATACACACACACACACAAACCTTGACCTGAAAGTAGATTTAAACTATAAAACTAGACAAAAATAAGGTTAATTGGAAAAAATAAGGTTAAATCAAAATTAATTATAAAACCTTCCCTTAGTTTTATTGAATTGCCATATTTGCCAAGGAGATGTGGATGTCTACATATATATTCATTAATAATTATGCTACGAAACAATAAAATAATCTAACACAACAAAAAATGTCCAACTCTTAATTTTTGAGAAGGGAGAAAAAAGGTCTTCATAGTTTGCTTAAACTTTTTAAATAAAATCATAATTTATATAATTATTTTAAAAAGCAGAAAAATATAATGTTGAATTATCATCAAAAGATGCTTGGTGTCTAAAATATAAAAATCATATTTAATTTTTATTTAAACAAAAGTGAATTGACACAAAAGGTTAGTAGTATTTCACCCATATAAAGAAAAAGTGTTTATTAGTAGTGGAGAAGCTGAGTCACACCCACACACAGTTAATCATAAAACAAAGTGCCCACAAACAATACCATAGCATGCAAGAAGGGGTAATAAGAAAGTAATATGCCTCCCGAGTTTGCTTAAGCCAGAAGCAAATACTCAAACCAGTGAGTTAGCACGTCGTGTTGCTCAAAAGAAGATAAAGTTGTGTTACAACAGAATTTAAAGCAATTAAACAGAGTCTCAAAGACAGCCCATCTAACTACAAACATCAACAAAAATCAAACGTCCCTTGTTTCTTATAATTAGCCTTTACCTTCCTTCAACCTTCTCAACTCAACCTTCTTCCATTTCTGTCGTCACAGGTAAATCTTTTTCATGTGTCTGTCAGTAATATGATCTGATCTGCATATTTCTTGAATACCCACATTTATTTTCAGGCATCTCAGTTGATTTCTAGAGAAATATTTTGGTCAGATTCAAGATTTTCGTTGAAGTTCTAAAGGTGTTTGTTTGTGGGGCTTAATCTTGGTTCTTTATGGCAGCAATAAGAAAGAAACATGGGGAGTGAGGCACCAAGTTGGGCTGATCAGTGGGGAGCAGGAGGGATTGGTGCTATGGAAGATGATGGCATGAAATCTCAAAACGATACAGCCAAGAACAAGAAAGGCAAGTTTGGTTTTGTTTCCAAAACGAAAACAGCTGCAGTGGGTTGTGTGCAGAAGATCAGAAGAGGGACTTGTTCTTCTGTCAAATGGATCAAACAGAAATGCCACAGAACAAGGTAGATTCCAATGAATCACATATGTATTTGTGTGGAATGTTTGTAAATGTAATTACATAACTGGTCTGTTTCATGATGCCAACGATCTGGTGTTCAAAATGGATCACTTTTTTGGTGGTCCTTAAGGAACTTTGTTTCGTTTCACTTGTTATTTTTGTTCTTACTTTGCTGGGAAAATCATCCATGTAAATCACCTTCATTAGGATTGGCCTTGGATGGAAACCTCACAAAATACATGGACTAGACTCTCCCCCCCCCCCCCCACCCCCAAAAAACGATAGCCAGATTTTGTTAATTTTTTTTCTCTCTCTGGAATTCTGATAAATTTTTTTAGAAGTATACCCCTAATTACCAAAGCAAAGCATTCAAAAGGGTTCTACAGTTCAAACCATGGCATCATTGTTTGTTCTTCTTTTAGAGCCAAGTCAGAAGCTTCTCTCACGGTGCCGACCACTTTTGCAAAATTGTTGGCCCTCAGTTGAACATTGACCCCATTATAATAGTTTATCATTGTAACAAGGTAAAATTTTAACTTCCAGAAAATATAAAGAAGACTAATGCTTAAAAATTTGAACATTAAAAAATTAAATTGACAATTTTGAAACAAAATTATAAAAATCAAATGATTAATTTCTTTTACTAATGAACATGATAACAAAGCGAAGTTCTTATGAGAATCAATGTCGCCCATAGACAATATGCACAACTCATTATTCAGCAAAATTAGAAAAATGAAGAGGTTATGGTTGAGTTTCAGTCTGAAAAAATGCAGACGAGAAAACACAGATCAATTAACCTATACTCAACTTTCAGCTATAAGCATATCAAAGTAGAGCTTATTTTACAATTGAAAGCAAGAGAACACCATGTCACAATAATGATGATAATATAGTGAAATGGGTATAAATAAACCGCACCTAATAATTGATCATCAATATAAAATACCACAGTTTAGGATATGGTCAAAATGCAGAATAATATAGGATAAAATGTTAAAAAGAGAAGTATTAACAACTAGCAAATGCTATTCACAGAGGTCATCATAAGTTGGGCCTAATGGGATCCGAAGGTGTTCTCTCCACTGTAAGTCATGTAAAGAAAGCCATCTTCATCCTTATGTTCCTCATAAGTAGCAGACATCAATGCAGCTGCGATAACAAGAGGTTGAGTTCATAAGATAAGCTCTAGAATACTAAGTATGAAGCATCACCACTTACCAGTCGGAGGTAGAGTGTTATTGATGAAAACAAATATAGCCTTCTCTGCACTGAGTTTAATCCTCTTACGTATAACATAAACAAACTGACCGACAGACAAGTCACCCGGAACAAGGTATCTGAAGTCATGACCAAATGAGAAGAGAATTATGTGAGAATCAATAAATGAACTGAGAACCAGATCATCAATCCATATTGATCAAATAAGAAACTAATGATCTCATCCTTTGATAGACAGAAAACATGAAAATAAAGTAAGCTTTGATATTCCAAATTTGAAATCTCATCTGTCTTATATGGTAATGGTACTTAAACTTGCCGAACTTCAATTGGAATCAGTCAGATAAGAACAATCTCAAAGGAAACTCAGAATGGGCATTAAAATAGTAACTTGTAAAGTTAAATGTAATGATTGAAACAAAGAGGTATAAATGGCACAAAAGCATTTACTTCTTCTTATCAACGTCTGCAATATCACTTCTGTCAGCTCTCTCCACAATCACCTGCACACAAAATCTGGATTTCAACAGCAGTTCTTTTGGAAAACACAAACAAGCTAACAATTTCAACTTGATGGTAGTATTACAGGGATTCTATCGGGATACTTCTCTCTGATGCGAGCAGATTCCGCCAGCCTTTTTTCTGAAATATACGAGACAATGAAAAATCGAAGAATGCACTAAACAAAGCAATTGAAAGGTGTAACAAAAAAAAAATGAAGCAAAATAATGTTGCAACAAAAGATATAGCCTTGAAGCTCGAAGCTGAAAGCTTCATGCAGATAACTCCAATTAAACCCAACGTTAAATCAGACAAGATGGGCAGCACCGTACTAAGATGACACCAAGTGCTTTATATGTAACCAAAAGTAGAAAGAATGAAAAAAATTCCACAGAAAAATAGCCTAATAGATTCAAAAACTTGCCAACTTAATAATTGAAACATATTTGCTCATCCCCCTTATCATTTATACAATTCACATATAGAAAGAACCAAGTAATTCTTTTGAAGCAGAATACTATCTGATTTGTAAAACCAGGTAGGCCGCCAAAGCTCAGCTTTTTCCTCTCTGAAAAACAGAGACAGATCCCAGATAGATCAAATGATTTCCAACACACAACCAGCTAAAAAATTTAAGGAGAGATTAGAACTTAGAACCATCAGTCCTGGTTCTCCAGAAAATCATTGGCATTCCTTCAGTACAAGTATTTTCAAATGTTGAGTGTCAAAAATAAAATTTTCAAAATAGCTGGAGGAAAAACAATCGGGTCAACGAAAGAATGTAAAGATCATACACTCATGCTCGAAAGAAAATATTCACTGAAACTGATATAATAAATAACCTAGGAAAAGAGTCTCAGATACCAATAAAGCATTTTTTTTTAAAGAAAAAAATACAGGCATCCTTCTATCTGTGAAGACTAGAAAATATACTCCCAATGATTTCGAAAAGATTATCCTCTCTTGCAGGAATAAGAAATTCCCGAATCCAAAGGCTCACAAGGTTCCAAGTTCCAGCAAAAAGCTTTAAACTTTCTTATGAACACTCGCTAATTTAGACGTTCAAATGAAGGTTTAGACTGACCATATCAGTCCAGTACTTTTCCACTTTATGCAGCATTAAAATCATGTAATTCAATTAAACTATAAATAAACCACAAACAGTACCAGAACCAGTGTAACTCCAATAATCAAATTGTATTTGGCCCCAAAAAAAAAAAAATCCAATAATCAAATTGTAAAAATAGAACGCACCCAATGGATTTTGAAGCTTGAAAGCACTCTTGGCCATGATGAATCCCCAAGGCGATAAATCACTGAAAATTTCAAACAACTAAACATCACAATCTACAGATAACATCGCTCACTCAACCGAGGGAAAAAAACATGATAGAGGGAAAGGAGCAAAACCGGAAAACAAAACAAAATCAACACACCGAACAAAAATAAGAGACAAGGAAGAGAAAAGGGTGAGTGAGAGAAAAGGGAATTTACCGAAACTTTTCCACAAGACTAAAAAGACGAAAGGAAGGCTTCCCAAGCGAGGAAGCTTATCAGGGTTTTCGATTTCGTCGGGAACAGGAGAATCCACATCGGTATATATAGTTTCCTAATTAACGCATCCCGGAGGGATCGGCCCTTTCTGAAGGAGATCTTTGCTGTTACTCCAAAACGACAGCGTTTTATTTTATTTCTATTTTATATTATTGTTTATGGGATGAATTATTTTTTTTAACAAAAATATTAAAAAAAGATAGATCTCACATACAGATAATATTAACTTTTTTCGGGATCACAATCTTCTAAAATTTAAATTTATTAGTTAGGAATCATTTCTACCAATTATGGTTGGTATAAAAAGAAGTCTGAATCAAATTTACTTTAAATTGCAACGGCCTTCTAATTTTAAAATAATAAAACTTAATACAATAATATTGTAGATACGGATCATCAAAAATATCATTCTCATTGTTTACTATTTTTAATCTAATTTTAAAATACACTAATGTCAGAACAAGCTTCCCAAAATATGAAGTTTGGAGGCAAGGATTGGGAGGTATTTCCTCATAGGAAAAAAACACAATGAGCTAAGTTGGAAAAAAATTATTTATTATTTATTATTATTTTTTTAAAAAAATTTCTCTCTATTTAGTGCTACATTATTTTATAGTTTAACTACTTTTGCGCAAACAAAATTTTAAGTAGGGAAAATCACAAAAAAAGACTGTGGAATTAGAAAAATCACAAATTGGGACCCATGACAATATTAGTATGGGTTTTGATAACAATTTTTGTGAACCGATCCCTGTGTGTAATTTTTCTAATTCCATGGTCTTTATTTATGATTTTCCTTTTAAGTACTCCTTAAGGATAAAATAAAAAATCAAATTTTAAGTGCTTTTCCCAATTTTTATTTTTCACCTGTATGGGATAAATCAGCTTCATTTTAGGGGTGTTTGGATGATGCTTAATTTTTTACCTTGAGAATAAACTATAGTTTTAAAAGTGCTTTTGAAAATTTGCCTTATTTTGCTAAAAAGTGCTTTTTAAAAACACTTTTGAGGGTTGCCAACGCTTCCTATCCAAGGAGATTAATTATTCTTCTCCTGTTTTCCCACCCAAACAGAAAGAGGAAATGCCAAATAAAGTGAAGAGTAATAATAATGATAATCATAATAATCCACCAGTCATTCACATACAACGATTCGGTTCAGAAGATAAGAGCTTCTTCTGCTTAAACAAATCATAACCTAGCAGCACACCACACTAATTAACATCATTCACAATGTTAAATTGCTGGGGGCATCATCTTCATCTTCACAAAGGCGAATTGGCTAAGCTCCTAATCCTGCTTGAACGCCTCACAGGAGTCACAGTCGTCACACTCCCTCCATCTCCATGTCCCTGAAAGAAACAAAACAACAATCAAATAATATTTCTTCGCGTATAACAATTTATATATGTGTGTGTTGTGAACCAGAAGCCAATAAATGAAGAAGAAAACTCACAGGCTTTGGGATTTTTTCGTAAGTGGTGAAGCTTCCATAGGATGCAGAACCGCCCATGGAGTCTGCAGAAGAAGCGAGAGATTCTCTCCTGTAGTTCCTCTTTGGCTTCTTCTCCAGGCTTTGGGCTTCATTCTGCTCCTTCACTACCCTTTGGCTGTAATAATGAGATGAGCTCCTTTCAAAGCTGCTCATTTCTGAAGGGTATGACTCTCCAAGAACCTCCATTTCTATAGGGCTATTCCTCAGAAATGGCCTTTCCAGCGAAGAAAAGGTCTCCTCTTTTTGCAATGCCTTAGTCATGGGAGGTTGCTCCATAGAAGTGGTATTGGTAGCAGCCATTCTTCTTCTTCCTTCATCTTTCTTCTTCAAGAACTTGAATGCTGCACCTGCGATTATGGATAGAAAGAGAAGGATAGAGGCAACAATAACTGGTACAAGATATTTTTCCTCTGATTTCAATTGCACATCTTGATGCACTGTATTAATCTCAGACGCGGGCTCGCTGTCTGTATGCATTTCAGCAGTTTCAGAAACTTCAGAGCTTAAATCTGACTGATCTTTAAGGTCTACACTGCCAGTTTCAGCATCCTTCTCTGGAGTCTGCTTTGCTTGTAAATTATTAGCTTCAAAATCTTCAGTATGAATTTCATGAGCCTCTGAATCTGGATAATCAGTGTTACTTTCTGACTGACTGGGTTCACTAACCGCTCCAATTTCCGAAGCAGGTGAGGCATTTTCAACTTCAGTGTGAATTTCATGAACCTCTGAGACCGGATAATCAGTGTTACTTTCTGATTGATTGGGTTCACTAGCCTCCTCAATTTTTGAAGCAGGTGAAGCACTTTCAACTCCGGCAATTACTACTGCATCAGTATCAATCTCCTTGACAGCATCATTGTCAGGGACTGGATCCAGTTCCTGAACTACTTGTTCTTCATATGCTGAAGCATAATGATCTGCCATAATAATATCTCCAATATCATCATCACTAGAGGTGTCAGTGAAATCATCAGTCTTTTCAACGTTCAATACTGGAATATCCACCTGCGGAGCTTCTCGTATTAGATTTCATCTTGAACAAATGTAGGAAATTGATAAACCTCAGTATTTTCTGTCAAATCAGTCAGGTTCCAATGCAAGTGACCAGAATCTTGCACTCCTCTAAATGATGAAATCAATTTTGAAGTTGAGGACATCCATTTGGTAAACCAGATATGAAAATTTCGACTTAAGCCATCCAAATTATCTTTTGCTAACTGTGAAAAACGATCAAAATTGGCAGTTGCAAACTGGTAAAATTCAGAGGAATCACAAGTCGAGACCAAGTGGTGAGTTCTTTAAGCAATGGATCAAAGACCTGTGGATTTGTATATGAGATTGAAAAAGAAGCAACCGAGAGAAGCAAAAGCAGCGCAAAGGCTTTTGATCTCATGGAGAAGCCTGGTTTAGCAACTCCTTTTGCTTCAGCAATTTCGTCCTCCGGCGTGAGTGTGCTGTTGATAGTACTTGCTTCAGAAACATGATTCTGATCTTCACTTGCTATTTCATCCGAAGAAACTTCTGATTCCTTCTCTGACCCACCAGACAATGCCTCCTCTGTTAGTTCTGTATCTGAAGAGCCGTCATCTAACTTCATAGACTCCCTTTCTTTGTAAAGCTGAAGTCTTGGGTTTGGTTTATAGCGGAGAAACTGGGGTCTTGGAGAAAGGTAATTCACTTTAGGATCATATGGAAGAATCAAAGGGTCAGCTTTAGGATCATATGGAGGAATAAGAGGATCAGCATCAAGAGGAGCTATGACTGTAGAGGTCGAAGAAAATGGAGGTGGGGTAGGACTAAGCCTAAAAGATGGATCAAGATTAACACAATCAGGTTCATTAGTCACAGCTTCGCATGCTGATTCTGTTTCATTATGTGAATCCAAGCCTTCAGCTTTCAAATCTTCAGAAACAGTGGAAGACGTATGTTCCTCTGCGTCGTCTTTGATGAACCCATCAGTAAAAGGTTCAAACTTTTTCTCTTCAATAGAATCTGCAAATGCCACATTTGGATTAGGGCTTTTGGCTTCGGCTATCAAATCTTCAGAAACCAAGGAAGCTGTATGTTCATCCCTGTCCTCTTCGCTGACCTCATCAGGCGAAGGCTGAAACGTCTTCTCTTCAACAGAATCTGCGAATGTTACCTTGCGAATGGGGCTTTTATGCTTATGTGTCTCTTCCTTGATGATCCCATCAGAAAAATTTTGGAACTTTTTCTCATCAATAGAATCTCCAAAAGTAACCTTTCGACTGGGGCTTTTCCCTTCCGCGGAGGAAAATGAAGTTCTTGCTGGCTCATTCCTGTCCGTGAGCACTTTCTTTCTTGGAGACTCTGTGATCTTAGAAGAAGCAGATATAGTTGGAGTCATGAAATTTTTCATGCCCTTCGTTGAAGCAGCTGGAGATCGAACCTTTGACGACTTGAGAACATGTTCTTTCCCATTTTCTTTGTCATCAAGGTCACCAAGCGACCCTATGCTTTCTCTGCCACCAATAGAGTTTCTTCGTGGGAAATCTACAAAAAATTCAAAACAGTCATGATGATGAGTAAAGAAATCCCCAAACCAGCATCATTAAATGTATATTTTGATTCGAAAAATTCATACCTCTAGTAAAGAGAATAAATTTATAAATTTTCCCACAGTTTCACAGAGACCGAACGGCAAATATAAAGAAAGAAATACATATGAACACCAAGAAATACTAAATTTCCAACAAAGCTCGCATACTGTCCGGGAAGAGGAGCAGATTGATTTTCAAGCATTTTCTTAGCGGACAACCAGACTACTATTGCCATTTATTCATAATTCATAATATAAAAATAATGAAATCACAAAAAATGAAAAATATGAATGATTGAATAAGTAGATAAGTAAAACCTGAAGGACTATTGGCTGGAGTATAAGGGTTGAAACTACGAGGGTTTGCGATGATAGAAGGTTTCTGGAATGGGTTTCCACTGAAACTCCTTCTGACAGAGTTACTGATTTCTGAGTTTCTCAAATTAGGGTTTGATCTGCTTGATGCTGCTGCTAAAGAAGAAGACGAAGACCTGTTTGAAGGCATAGCCATCGATGAAATGAATGCGATGCAGAATAGAGAGAGAGAAATGAGAGTATTAACGAGAAAGGAAGGGCAATCAAGAAGTGATCTGAGAAAATTTGATTGAGAACGTCGCGAAGCGTTGGTAGCAAGTAACGGCTATAATTTGAGGAGAGAGAGAACAGAACGAAGAATTTAATTCGCGAGGGAGATTTGACCGTTGGACAATTTAAGAGCCGTTGGAATGATTGGAGCCGTTGGATTATTTAAAAAATTGAAAAGTCTGTAAAAATAGCATATATTCTTCAATGAATGAAAAGATTTAGATTTAACTTACCAAATCAATAAAAGTTTATTAAAATCATAAAATGGCAGATTTTAATCGAGGTTTTTAAAATGCATAAAAAGTCCTATATATATATTTTATGAATTAAATAAATTAATAAATTTTTATGAACTTAATAATTTATTTACAGTAATTATTTGAGATCTCCGTGACTATATATATATATATATATATATATATATTTAATCTTTATCTTAGCCTCATTTATAATTTCAATCTTAGTACACTTTCATTATTTTTTTTCCTTTTTCAATTTCTCAGTCTCATTTCACACACCTCATTAATTTCATTTCTTAAAATTATTTTAACTCTGATATTTTACTATTGATTTATTTTTCTCTCCAAATTTTGCAATTATTGTTTCAATGGGCATGTACTAATAATATGATGTTACAAGTGAGATCAAACTGAGAACCTCCATCAAATAACCTAATAATTATTTTTGTTAAATTATTTGTTGACGCAATTTCTATTTGCCTTGTAAATTGGATAATCTTATTTGATGGGAAAAAATCAAATCGAATAAAACAAATTTGCCAACAAAAATAAAAGCTTAAAGCCTTAAACCAAATATTTTTTATAATGAAAAAAAATTTCAGGTATTACATCCCAAATATTCACTCAACCAAATTTTAAAAAGGTAGTTTAATATCACTTTTTTGTTTTCCATTTCTTTTGTTGTTAGTTCATAGTTCTTAGAGTAAGCAGGAAAATTCTTTTTTTATTATTATTATTAATTAGAGGGAGAGGTAGCTGAAGAGTGGTAAAATGTGATGATTTTCTATTGCTTATCAACAAGACCCAACTTCAGCCAAAAAAATTTAAGAGAATTATAATTGAAGATTCAAAAAAATGTTTATAGTGAAAAATGTTAATGTAAAATTATTCAAAGTATCTTAAAACCCTGAATATGCTTTTATTATTTATTTTTTCATGTTTAAGTAAAAAAAATTGACAAAGGCCGAAAAAAAGACAGAAATATTGACCACCAAAATAAAGAGGAGTCTATGGGACTTAGGACATCAATATAAATCACCATACTTCAATTTTGCAGCCAACCAGACACTGAAGATTAAGCCAGTTGCTATGAGTTGCCAGTTAATTCTTCAACAGATATGAGGTCAACGCCTCCGCTTCCACTTTTTGGGAGCTTATTTCAAAAGAGGGAGGTATAAATATGAAACTCAAAAGAGCCCAATCAATTCTTTTGTGGCATTTAATAATGCAATATTTGGAATCATTCACGCAATCCTTTTCCAATCAAGGAATTCCAATAATTTCTTCATGCTATATTTGCTCAGGCAAAAATATTGACATCAATACCACCAGCAGAGCTTCAAAATTAGCCTTTTATTTCATTTTCAATCAAAATTCCATTCGCAGCAGAACATCTGCATTTATTTCCATGGTTCATCCACTCAAAGGTATGAACCAACAAAGCAAAAGATCACTTGTCTCCCTCAATAAAACGACAGACTAATCTATGACGTAACTGACCCTATTATTCAATGCTACCAAGAAAAAAAGGGTTCAATATATACAATCATTTAATTTAATGTTTAGATTAAAGCTTAGCACCAAGCCTGTACAGGAAAGGAAAAGAGATGAAATTGCAGACGGCTGATTTACTAACAGCAACTGAATTCTCATACTGACTTGCGTGCAGCATGGTAAAGTTCCAGATAGTCAAGAGCAGGTCGGTTCCAAGACCAGTCCTGCTCCATCACAGTCTTGCATAATGTATTGAACCAATCACGGCCTTCATACCAAGCCGATATTGCCCTGTAGAAAAATTTCACTTGAGATTTAGATATTACATGATAAAAAATTAATTTTTTTCCGGAAAGCTTATGTGTAAGTGTCAACAGAACGTTCAAGAGTGGGCAAACAACATGATAAAACTTTCAATCATGTCATGTAGTGGAAAGTCGCATAAAATTAACTTCAATTCCTTGATCATCAGAAAGTTCCATATAGTCAAAATTTAAGTCAGTGCCACAGGATCCTGAAATCCAAAAGTGTCGGTATATTCAATTACTATGGCAGAAAAATGATACCAGGGCAAGGAACTCCTTTTCCTATTCGCGCGCGCACATAGCGTTAAGTGGGAAAATAAAAAATGTGGCACTTCAAATGCACGGACAACATTAGGGACAGAGTCCTAAAGTATAGTCTCTTTGGAATCCAGAATAAATTGATGCAGATGGTTTTATTCTGAGCCTTTTAAGCTAAATGTCTACTGGTTTTGGAGTCCTGGAGGTGCAAGTCAAAATTCATTCAGCTGAGATTTAGCTCCCTAATATTACCAATATAACCCACCTATTAAGAGCAAAATCAACACCTCCAGCATCAGCTCCATCAAAACTAAATCCATTTGGTTCAAGACCCTGCGCTTGTGCTCTTTCCTTATCATGATCGACGTCAAATACAGTATCATATAGTCCTGCAAAATTACAAGAGGATGCATTATCAAATGTACCACAAATCCATAGCAATTGAATGAACATGAAACTTAGCCATAAATTCCTTCAAGTCATATATCCTATCACTGTCAGAGGAGAATGACAAGCTTCCAAAGAAAACAAGACTGGGATATCATAAACTCCCTCCAGTCCTATTTATAAGACCCTTTCCCAAGGTCCCTTCTACAAAACTCTTTGTCGAAAGCATTAATTTCTCCCTTAAGTGTCCTTTGCTCTGATATTTCCCAACAAACTAAACAACCACCTAATCAACTAAACAACCTCATTTAATTAATGAATTATAAAAGCATTAACAAATTTTGACCAAATTCCTTAATCTATGTAAATTTGATAATAGGTTTTTATAATAGAGACTGGAGGGAGTATGAAGGAATCTGCAAACATACTATAAGAACCTTGCAAAGGCAAAACAAACATTCCAAGAATAAGGTGATGGTCAAATCAGACTGTTGCATGGGTCAGGAAGTAAAGCTACGTATGAGGTAAATCAGGCGTGCTGATTAGCTGGCTAGGAATGCTCACGGAGTGGACATGATTTTGTTCTGAGGACCGTGAGCAAGGAGATTGCTGATGGTTATAGAGCCATAAGGATGGTTAATAATATTCATACTAATGTATTCAAAAGTATATTTTAAATAAAAACAGAGGAGTCATAGAAGATCTGTGTTCACAAGAAAAAAAGAAGAAAAAGTGTATAAACCTCCAGTTTTTCTAACAACCGGTATTGAACCATATCTCATTGCTGTGAGTTGAGTTAATCCGCACGGCTCAAAAATTGAAGGAACTAGAACGAAATCAGCACCAGCATATATCTAGGGGAAACAACAGAAAGAGAGAAATGAGTCAGCAATAACCTGCGCTGCTGCACATTAGCTTTACAAATGATAAATTGCTAAAAATGTTGAAGTTACCAAGTGTGAAAGTGGTTCGTCATATGTAAGACATAGTCTAGCACGGTCATGATGAGAAGAATGCAACTCATTGGCCAAATTCACAAAATCATTCTGGATACGAGGATCAGGGGCTGAACCAAGGAGCACAACCTGCATTTGTAGTTATTCAGGTGATTCATGCACTTTATAATACAACACGTAAGCAACTTTGAAATAAGTAAATGAAAACTAAAAAAAATTTAGGCAGCCTTGCTTTGACTTTGGCCCTTGACTCATGAATATGATGTAAACATGCAGCATAAAATCGGTTTTGAGAAGCGTATAGAAAGACTGTGGTGTATAATGCAAGGTGTTAACCATCCAATGCCATAATTATCCCCACACCAGTTGACTTGAGACCTTAGACAAATAGCAAAGGCTCCAAATGTATAAATCTCAACCATGCATGCTTTCACCTCAAATGTGAAAAACATTTGAAGCAAAAAAGTGGCTAAGATACAAGTTCACACTACTTTGTTTAGAATTTTTTGTTTGACTATAAGAATGAGAGAAACAGGGAACTCAAGAAAGCTTATTCAAGGAGATTTTCAAGAAAGCTTATTGAAGCAAAATAGCCCCTTGTCATATAACCACTAGATTTATCCGTAAAATATATCAAAAGGGAATAAATAAATATATAGAAGAATGAAGACAGAAACAAATTGCTCTCTGATTCAATATGATAGTCAATTAGGGATTTAGGGTTTCAATATACATAAGTGGGACATTCTGGCTGGCAAGGAAAGTCTAAGACCTAAATGCTGTTCAAAGGCTTACAATTGGCTCCGTTAATGTTATGTTCTGACGATTAGATCTGCCATTATGCAGGAAACGTACAATTATATGGTATTGGAAAAGCAGAGTTTGAAGTCAAAGAAAATAAAGGAAGACCTGTCCACCACGTTCTAGGGTGCGCCACATAGCATGCTTGATGAGATGGATTCCTTTCTGATGAGTCAATCTAGTAATGATTCCCACTAAAGGAAGATCAGCCCGTCTCAGACCAAGCCTTTGTTGCAAGGCTTCCTTAGCAGCTCTTTTGCCTTCGACTACATTCTCTGCTGTGTATGATACCTGAATAATGTTATATCAGGACAAATCATAATTCAATCAGTAGACATAACAGATCTTTATAAAACAAAAACTAGTGTTCTCATAATACATATTATTTCAGATTCCATGGAAATACTCATCGTCTCATAAATCCATAGCAACAATTCCAAAGTAGTCACAAAAAAGATAAGGCAATTATCTTCAATATAATTGGTAGAGCATTATAATTCAGCTGTGCATAAGGTAAGTCATTACGGTTTCTTACACAAGGGAAATAAAAAGTTTGGGTAAAAATGGTCATTCAGAAATGTAATAGGAACTGTCCAACTCTATAAAGCAGACACAGGTTATAAACTTATGAGGTGGTCAAAATATCAGGACATCAGTTTGAGAATTATCTGTCTGTCTTTAAATGTAAAAGATAAAAACGAAAAGCGCATATGTTAACTTACAGGTAAGAAATGATCATTATATGGGTCCCATATATCTTGGTCAATTCCATTTAATATACCATGGAACTTCTGAAGATAAGGAGCAACCGCAGGGTTTCCTGCAACCTCCCTTGAATAAGTGGGGGAGACCTGCCAACATAAACAGGAATCCATGAACATACTATAAAAAAAAAGATAGAAAATCACAATCAGCTTCTTGCTCCCTTCAAGATTTTCAGATTCATAATTGGTAGTATATTTTTCAATAAAACATTAGGCGTAAGCACACAGATTTGTCACTAAAATCAATACATGATGTTCAGTTAGGTCCCTGCATTTTGAAAACTATTAATGAAGCCTTTATATTTGTTATATATAAAAAACCTATTTGTGTCTACTGTGACATGTGAGGAATCTTTTTAGAAGTTTCCTTTGTAGTCACGGCAGGCCTATCATCAGACACATGAACATCAAAAAGCAATAAACCATCAGCTCAATCTGAGGGCATGTGAATGAACCAACTCTCCAAAAGCTTTTGGCCCATAAAGAAGTTTGAGCTGTTAGGTGACGTACCAGAAATGATTTCATTGATATTTTTAATTGAAAAAATATTCCAAATAACAGAATAGACAGCCCTCCAGAGAAAACAGAAAAAGCAGTAAACAAAAAGACAAAAGTACAATGAAAAGTGCGCCATTTACGAGCTCAAAGGTCATTATTTATTTTTACAGTGCTCAAAAGCGTAAGTTAAAATAAAGTGTGCATCGTGCATGTGCACAGATCCCAAGATGAGGCATGCTGTCTATGGTTTATAATCAGCATGACTCCATATATTTTATATGTTATGTTGATGGCCAAACTTTAATCCAGAGGTACAAATACAAAATTTGAAGGAGTTTATTATAAAGATATTTCCTCAGGTCTCACAAACACCCAGTAGAATGAGATTTTCAGATATGGTCGTTTCTGAACTGTTTTAGATTTGAGTGGTTGAAGCAGAAAGACAGGGTTGAAGTGTTTGAATCAATAATCTGATTCTGGAGGACCATTGGCTTCCTATGATTAAATGGAAAATCTTAGATGATTCCTTTTGAAAAATTTTCTTTGCAAAACTCTCTATCCTACGATTTCCTTTCCTCCCACCCCAGCCTCACCACTGTTGCAACAATTTCAGAAAACTATACACTCTCTGGTTTTGCACTCTATCAGCTCTTAAACCTCCAATGTCACCCAAAATGAAACAAGATTGTGTTAATATAACCATTATGAATAATATGAATGACTATCAGCAAGAAAAAAAGATTGTGTTAATAAATTGAATATTGCATATATCAAAATTAATAAGTTTTGAGCATAACGAACACTTACAGTTGTAGCCTTGTCAGCATATGCCATAGCTTTTCCAATCAAGGCAGCTCCAAATTCAAGATTATGAATTGTGAAGACAACTCGTGCTTTTCCAAGACCATATTGCATATAATGATCTTTATATAACCATGCAACTGGTGCACTCGACCAATCATGGCAATGGATGATATCCTGCCCATTGTTAGATGAGCATCAATTACCATACATTCTAGGAGACAAATGAATAGGGTTTGTTACAGGTTTACACTTCACAAAATATAGTCACATATGCTGTTAGAAAAAACTAACAAAGTAAGAGGAAAGTGATATAGGTAGAAGGGTAAGAAGGAAAGGGGGGATAGAAGGCAGAGAGAATTCAGGACTGGATTAGCCTGATAACCAAAAACAACATAACATAATCAAAGTCCTAGGCCCCTTTATTTATACTAGTCTAAAGCATAATGGTCAAGTCACATGCATCTAAATCATAACTACATAACTAATTAACTAACTCCTACTCCCAGAAAGCTGTGAACTTGGAAACGCATTTTCTGGTAAATGTGATTTTAAAATGATAATCTAGAAGGGCATTATTTCATGAGACATATTCTTAGTTTTATATTCATGCATGAGAAGTTTCGCATACAATCATGGATATGCATGGCCAATAGTCATGCCTGGAATAATCAACAGAAAAATCTATCGCTATTCACTAAAAATGTAATAAGGCAGGAGGAAAGACCAACCCTGATTGTGGATGCCTAACTATTGACAGAAACAAAATTGTGCACACGTAATATTTATGAGAGTAGTAAATGTTTCATCAATGTTTTAAAGTAACAACTTAATTAAAAGTAAAATATATCTTACGGGATGAAATCCATCTTGGAGAAGAAACTCGAGAGCAGCATGGCAAAAGAAACCAAATCTTGCACCGTCATTCCCACGGCCATATACACAGCCAACACCAAAGAATCTGCAACAAAAATTATAGATCAGATGAAGGATAATTTGAGCTTGGAGGCAGTTGAAGTTGCTTAAGCCATCTTTTATGAAATGACCATGAACAGTATAAATCCACTAAACAGAAGGTTTTCAATAAGAATCACGTTAAAAAAAAAGTTAGATTGTGAGAAACAAAATTAAATATGTAATTATTATTTATTATGATAATGAGTGATAAGAAACATAATAATAAGTAAGAAATGAAAAGAAATACAAGGATGGGAAAGTCAAAATACTCTTACCCATTTTGAGGCTCCAAAAAGTAAACAGAGAGGCCTTCAACCTTTCCATGCCATATTTTTATTTCAGTTCCACCCCAGGAGTAGTTTTTCCGATATTGCAAATCCTTTACCTGCACCAGAAGCCATATATGAAACATCTAGTTCAAGAACATGTATCAGCACGTGAATAGATCAAAAGTAAAATATATAGATTTTCAACCAGATGCAAATAAACATGTGGAACAATAGCCTCACAAATCTTCCGGAGGAGCCACATGAGGAACAGAGATGCACATAATCTCACTTGCACAAAGTGATAATTTGGGGAACCACATATATTTTAACAGATGACTCCAAATGTAATGAATAATTCATCACATTTCTTTGCGGAAAGACAATCAATATTTTCAATTCCAAACTTCTGCTATAACACTCCAAATAATATTTATGTAACCACAGGCTCTTCTCAAGAGATTTAAAAAAAAAAAAAAAGAAGCTTTTCTCAATGGGACAAGTTGGGAACTCATATTTTAAGGAGTAGACAAAGAACCAAGAAATGATATAAGGACAAAAGCGGAGGCAAAGAACTTACATGGCTATAGTTCAAACAGTCATACTTCGGAAGAATGATGTCCACGTTATGATTTAAATCCTGAACAGCTCGAGATAGACTGGTAACAACATCACCAAGCCCACCAACCTGTAAAATATGCAAAAACAATTTCACAAACAACATGACAATACATTAGTCTTAAATTTTAGCGTGTCGTATCTGTGTTTGAAAAGTAAGTAGATTTGTGCATTATACAATGATAATGCAACTTCCTTCCTTTCCTAACATTAAAAGCAAAAGAAAGAATGATAAGTAAGACAATCAGTCTTCCATTGAGCACATGACACAGCTCAATCTAATTAAAATCTTAATTTAAATCAGATAGAGAAAGCAGCATAAAGACTGCGCAGAACAAAAGCACTAATTTCGGTACAGAAGGACACCATATAACATTAGTGTATGCTAATCTCTTGAGGTTGGGGCAGGAAAAGGAAAGACAGAGAGTCAACAGTTCACTAATATATCCTTTCTTCAGTTCGCTTCGAAGGAAATTTCGTTTGTATTCCCATAATATTAGAGGTCTTACTGAATCTAACATTCTCACATCATGATACCAAATGTCAACATGTTTTCAACACATCCTGAATCCAGATATTTTAAACCATTTTTTCCTTTTCCACCAAACAATTACCACGTGAAAACTCTATTGATGCCCCAATCCATGACCGCACCAAAAAATTCAGCCATACATCTCACAGTATTTTTTCATATAAAGGGAATTTAAAGCAACAGGAAATAAAACTAGCACATTAAATTCCAAGCTAGAAAGATTACTGAAAACCATAAGCTTTGCAAAAGTATTTACCATAGCACATCCGTAAGATAAGTGGTGACATCACTTTAATTGAATTCATTATATACCAAAACCTTTGCAAGTCACAAGTTAAATAAATAGGTCCACACCAAATCATGCAGATGATGTTGACATAAGAATTTAACATACCTTTGCAACTGGGGCCATCTCAACAGCAATATGCACAATATGCATGGGTGGTTCCTTCACAATTCCTCCAAAAACAGGTATGTGATAATCCATTCCAAATTTGTTGTCAAATTCCCCACCATCTTCCCTCTCAGAAAAAACAAAGTCCATCATGTATGCGTCCAATGGTACCTTGACTGCAGAAAACACAATCATAAAGCTTCTTCAGGAACAGTTTTATCAGTCAATGAATAACTGACTCATTATTATGTCCTTTTGGCTTTAGATTGCAAAGTGATTGAGAAAGGCATGCATCCAATCATGTTGCAAGCCTTCAAATTTTGGGGTGAAAACGATCATATATTTAAACTGTCCACCTTAATGTGTTGCTGCTAATATGATGCAACGGAAGATCCATGAAAATCCGATCCAGATACAATCATAAGTGATCATTTCTATTAGCTCCTGATATGGTTTTGACATGACAAATACCCAGGACTCCTAATTTCAGACAAAGGCCAGTCTACAACATATGGGAAAAAACGTTTACAAGGAGTCTGATGAGTCAGTTTTCTGGCCAAAACAGATGCACATCATTTGACAGGACTGAGCATAAACCCAGTCAACATGATAAGATTGGGCCAGACTAAAAAAAAAAAAAAAATTCCAAGGAAGAATTTGGCTCATTAACAAGCTGGTCTGCGTTATGAGCAACAGGCTTGTTCTTGAAATAACCAGACCAATTTGTCACATGACTTTTAATAAATGAATGTTGCAAACATAGTATTTAAGCTACGCCTCCCCTAAATCCCTAATTTAAGCTCTCCCTCCCCGTAAAGCCATACTAGCCTTCTTGAGCTCTCAGCCTCTCCCTCTTGCATCCACACCTTCAAAATCTTCCTGCTTCTCCTCCAGCTTCCATTTTTGAAGGTCGTTGGCTCTGCCACTGATCTTATCATCATCAAAGACGAAGAGCTGAGTAATAGTTTCCCTCTCTCCCTCCACCTTTCCACTGTTCTCAGCTTTATACCTAAAGTTCCTTCTTCAAGTGATTTGGCTCCTCTTTTGCTTGCTATATATTGCTCTATTTGGTAACTTGCTGTGATGGCTATGATTTTTGGCTCCTCTTTTGCTTCTTGTGTTTGTCCTTCCCTTTTTCTTGCGGTAATAACAATTATATAGAGTTGCTGTGTTTGGATTATGTTCAGCCTCCCTTTTTCTGTGCTATGTAGATGTCAAACAAGTGAAGACATAGGATATTTTGTTCTAGTAATCTTGAGAGGGTGCATGTTGCAGATTATTGTTGTTGTTGTTTTTTTTTTTAAAAAAATATCACACAGCATATTATGCATGATGATGTCATTTTAATAATGTTCGCCATTCTGGAATGGTGAATTGATGATATTACTGGTTGTATCAATTATGTTTATGCTTGAATTGATTATTTCATTGTTGAATGTGATCCCCTTTCGAATATTTTCAGTTCAGCACTTCATTTTTATTGCTCTGCATCAGTTACACGTAGTCTTTGAGGGGTGGGGGGGAATACATGAGATAGCCTGGCCCAGCCCTGCCCAACCTATCCTGGTTTTTCCCGGCCCAGGTCCCCCTAGGACAGGCTGGTGAGCTGGGGTGAAAAAATCCCAGCTTGCACTGGTGACCAGGCTAGGCTACGGGTATGCTTCGACGTGGGCCTAGTCCGCCCATTCTTATCCCTATTATTTGTACATTGCAAATCAAAATTAATCATACATAAATTTGGCAGTTCTCTTGATCAGATTTCAAAAGCTGTGACCCTTGCAATGAATGTTAGTACAAAAATAAGCGCAGGAAAATAAGAAATTTACCAAGCAACCAGAAAACGTAAAATCTATCATGCTACCAGTTGCATTACTAGTACACTCGATTCATCCTTCACACATGAATCAAGAGAGAAAACTCACCAGAGGTTTTGAGATGAGTGCCATTCTCTGCGGGCAACATTCTTACAGGTGAAAGCAGACCCCTATGATGTGTCCAACGATTAAATGAACATCTAAACCAAACTTCAGGTTTTCCATTCAAATTTGTGTTGGTGGGATTATAATAGACTGTTACTGTGCTCCCCGCTTGAACATCAAGAGGCTCAGTATAGACAACATGCTTTTGGGAAAGCAAAAATCTTTTTAAAGTTTTCTCCTTTGTTTCAGATTTCATAAGTGCTGTTCTTTGGACCTACAACAAGAACAGGGCCAAGTAAATGAGAAGAGCAGCTTAAATACCTAAGATTTTTATTTTTGGCCCGTTATATCCCAAAACCAAGCATGTGCGACTTTAAATCAGAATAAACACAATGTTTCAGGTACTTGCTCCCTAAAAGAATTGAAGGGCGTGTTTGCTTTAACCATTTCATGTTTTCATTTACATTTAAAATTGAAAATAGACATGAATGGTTGAATTCCTTTTGATATTTTTTTTCCCCCTCTTAGGAAACAGACTCCACATATAAAGAAATTCTGTTTACTTTAAGAAACTGGAAATAGATTCACAAAATGAAAAGAGAAAATATTTTTTTAAAAAATCCCAATAAACTCTAAATAATCTATCACATTGAAATCAAAAATAAATGTGCTTTGTCCTAGGTTTTACAAGACAATAATTTTACAAATCTACTAAGTCAACATCTTATGCATATAACTTTAAATACACAAAAAATATGGAACCAGGTGATTCCACAGGCTTTTATCTACTTATGCAAGAAAGAACTTTAATGTTGTCATCTGAAATTTGAGTCTCAGAACAAACTAACCTTTGCACGTATAGCTTCTTGCTTGAGCCTCCTCTCCTCCTGCAGTTTCTGGTATATCTGTTGCTCTTCCTCAGTCCAATATTGTTCGTTAGGCATACCATTTGGGACAATAGAATGGAAGTCTTGCCTACGGTTGTTATCATAAATAGATGCTTTCTGTGGTGGACCATTAGCAAACACCCAATCCAGGAGAAATGCTTGATCAGGTACAACAACTGCATAAAAATAGAATTAATCAAGAATATGTCCTCTACTTGCAATCAAGTTCTAACAGAGATGAAATTAAAACTTTCAAACAGAGCAAGAGATGGCCAAGGATCTTCAACAGACTTCCAAGATAGTATCTGTTATTCATGATCTTGCACACATATTGGCATTGCTCAAGAGATACTCATAATGTTAGAAGAAGAAGCTAAAATCATGTCTAGCAATATTGCATTTTATGAGTAAGAGATGGATAGTGAGGGAGATTGATCCTCAATAGGTGAATAGTCCTTCACCTGAAGTATCACAATAATATATATTTCATGCTCTCTTCAAACTTTGCACCATATATGACTAAATGGAAGAGACATAAGGAAAAAAATTTACTTCTATTTTGGCTTATCTGTAGGGTAAAAGGGTACTTCGGAAACAAATAATAATCCTAACAGCAGAAATCTGCACAGTTGAGACCAATGGACTCCACCATATATCAGAAGATACCATGATAAATATTAGCAGACATGAAGTTTTAATAAGGAGATAGCTGCCTCAACCTCCTAGCACAATACATCACAGTTAAGCTTCTTAATTTCTCTATTCATGCAGACTTTTGCACCGCCAGTAAAGCAGTAATTAGAACAAAGACGAATCTAAGATTAGAAAAAGCAGATTTGAATGAACATACTGTCAGCATGCCACCAATCACTATCCTTTGAGCTAGAACGGACAAGCTGTTCAGCAAATGATATCCCAGCCTTCCAATTATTGTGTCCCCCATGAACCCATACTTCATTAGCATGTGACAGAGGACCTGAACTTCTGTTATAATATAATCTGATCAAGTCCTTGCCTTTGAATTCAGTTGGTTCTATATACCAAACATTATCCATGGATCTCACAGCTTTCTTAATCAACTGTTGAAATGTTTCACGCAATCTTTCAGTCTCCACCCTCGCCTGCAACCTATCAGCTTCTTTTGCGGCTTTCTCTTCTTCCATTTTTCTCTTTTCTTCTGCCTGTCTTTCCTTTTCTGCTTGCTCTTTGGCAAGATCTTCTAATTCTTTACGCTTCTTCTCTAGAAGAAAATCCTCAAATGATAATGCATCCATTTCGCCATCAACAGATAAGGAGAAGTCCTTTCCGTCATTGTTATCATAGATATTTTGCCCATTGAAGAACACAAAGTCCACTTTATAAGCTTCTCTTGGAACATTTAGATGGCAAGACCACCAATCACCCTTTAGATGCGTTTTATTCAACCGTTGGTTAAATGATTTCCACATCCAATCATTAAAAGCCCCCATAATCAAAACATCTGGCTCACTACTTAAAGTTGACAGACTTCTGTTCAAGAATACTTCAATATCTTGATCAGCTTTAACCACGGAAGGATATACAAACAGCTTGTTCCCTAGAGAAAAATTTTCCTCTGCAATCCTCTCAATTTCTTGTTTGCGTAGCTTTGCTTCCATCTCTAACTTCACCTGCCGAGAAGCTTCCTCTTGTTTGCGCAACTTTTCCTCCATCTCTAGCTTCAATAGCCGTGCGGCTTCCTCTTGTTTGCGTAAATTTTCCTCAATTTCTAGCTGCAAAAGTCGGGAAGCTTCATCCAGTTTGTGTAAATTTTCTTCCATCTCTAAGTTCAATGACGAAGAAGCTTCATCTTGTTTGGATATTGCTTCCATCACTAACTTTGCTTCTTGAGCATCCTCTTTCTGTTTAAGTAAACTTGCCTCTGCCTCTAACTTTGACAGTAGGGAGGTTTCCTCAGTCACTTTATCATCACTATCAACATCAGTTACTTTTGTGGTTTCACCAATTTTTTCGTATATTAGTGGCTCTCGCTCTGAATCCTGAACATTGCCAATATCACTTATTTCAGAAGTTTCTTCCTTCTGTGGTTCTAGAAGATCCTCTTCAATGATGGAAGTGATTCTGTTTTCAGTTTTAGTAACATCCAATGTATCATGTAATGATGATAATTCGCTAGCTTCCGCAGCACCTTCATCAACTCCATCTATCTCAGGTGTCTTCTCTTGAGAAAATATAACTGCCCCCTCTTCCTCAGGTTCAATTTTAAAATCAACTGCTCTTTTATCATCCCGTGAGATCCCACTAGCTGTTGGAGTATATGAATCCCCTTTAACGCCAGTCTTTTTATGTCCTCTCTTATGGTTACTTGTTCCAAGTGGTGATCTTGGCATGAAACCCTTTGGAGGAGGGCCCCTAGACCTTGCATTGGAAATCCTCCTGGGTCTCCTACGGGGAAAATCTGCCAAAAAAAGATAAAGGCCCCAGTTATACAAGAAAAGTAAATTATTACGCTGAAGTAGTAAAGAAGCGTGCTTTAACAATTAAAAGATTGCCTTCAACCTGCACTAGAATTGATGCAATAAGAACCCCAAACTGCCATGCACTCTTTGCGCCGTACCAAACACTGTTACGTCAAGGATTAACTCAACATATTCAGCATGGAAACTAAACAACCAAATTACAGTTATAGTTCAAAATTCAAATATGTCGCTCTAAAGAGAGCAATTTGTATAACTATTACTATCAGATATAATAAGATGACCAAATTACAATCAGAAAGATAGGGAATGATGGAACGAAAACCCAGTTAGTAATTAAAAAAAGGATCACCACCAAAAATCATTACTACAAAAACCAAAAAAATAGTAAATTAAGCAGAGCATGCTCGGTTATCACCAGACCTCAACAACAAAATCAAAACAAATCCCTCCTCAGAATTAGAAAATAGGTCATTGCAACTGTTCCAAATTTCAGGCAACCAACGAAAACAAGGACGGGATACACAAAGCCAACAAACAATTCAGGCGACCAGAAAGAAGCATACTTGGCGGGAAGCTGTAGTTCTTCCAATCGGAAAGGACCCAGAAAATGGTTTGAGCTTCACACAGCCCCTATCGCCGAACAGAGTTCCACAGTTCAGTGGCCTCTGCAAATGTAGGGACATTTCCATAGCTTTTGCCTCCAGGAATGCTCGTTAATGATCACCGAAAGATGCTTCTGATTGTGATTGATTCAGTAAACCATCAATCTCTCAATAAATTCGAGCTCATAAACAGAAATAAATAAATTTCTCTCCCCACTTCCAATGAATTAAAAAAAAGAAAAAAAAATGAATCAACTTGTAATATGTGCCTATGCTTCCGCTTCTTTGATAACGGCGGTGAGACTAAGTTCAACCTCAGCCATATGTATAAAGTTTACTATGCACGTTGGTGTAACGTTGTAGACTGTATCAAGTTTGCTGACGGTTCGATCTAAGCGAAGATAATGAGGTGTGAGATCCTATGGTGGCTGTTACGAGATTGTCGTGTGGCTCGTGAGCAAGCAGTCACAGGATAGTAAACCGGGGTATGTGAGATATTCATGGACAGGTGTACTAGCTGTTAAGATTTTTGGAGCTTTGTGGAGGATGATAGGATGCAACGAACAGAACAAACCAAAATCTACAGCATTCGATAGAAACATGCCACGTCAGGAAATAATTCTCGGTAGGTTCTTTTTTTTATTAATTAATTATATTAATCAATTTGTAATCATTAAATCAACGGGCCAAGTAGCACGTAACTTGCGAAAAGGAAAGGAAATTGATGATTGAGTTTGGTTTTTCGTAAATGAAGTAAAAGGGAGGGAGAAAAATAAAGCGATAAGTTTAGGAAAATATTTTCAACACAGAAATGATGCCTATATTTATGTTAATTTTAAGAAAATTAGATTCTCTTCATTTAAGGCACAAGATATTTTTTTTTATATTAATTAAATAGAGATAGTACTATAAATGTAAAAAAAAATTTATATAACAGTTTTTCTAAATACAATTAAATAAAAAAGAAATTAAATTTTTTTCACTATATTAACAAATTAAATTAATCTAAACATTGGTTCAAGAGTTACGAGAATTTAAACCTAATGTTGGTAGTTCATATTCAGTTTAGATAATTTTTATATTTTAAATGATTTTTTTATTTTCATAGATAAAGAATTTAAAGTAAAAATAATTTTATAATTCATAATTGACATTTCTTAAAAAATAACTTTATTATTGAAAAATTTTAAATTAAAATTTTTAAATTTGAGCCATTCAAAACATATTTTGTATGGTCTAAATTTCATTACAGCATGCTCATTCCTGTGATAAACAACGAATGAGAATCATCAAGAGCTAGTGATTTTGTTATGATTAAACCAAATTCAACCGATCCTGATTAAAATTATATAAATATATAAAAATATTCATATGTATCCTTAAAAAAATAATATATAAAAGTAATCCAACCATAAATAAAATATTCACATATAAAAACATAAATAATTTGAAAAAAAATAAATTACAAATATAATGAACTATTACTTTTCAAGTCAAAATAATGTGATTTTAGGCTCAATTATAAGAGAAAAATATAAATATTAATTAGATTATTAAATGATTGGTTCACTAGTTTAGCTTTTCTTGTGTCCGTTTGACTGAAAGTTTTAACACAACAATTTAAATCAACCAAGCCAACCTAGCTTTTATAAGTAAAAATGCAACTTTTGTGGTAAAATAATTAATTTTTAATTTTCTGTTACACCTACAAGTGTGGCATGCAACTATCTTACAAATAGACCTTCTTATGTATATTTTTAAAAAACTCAAATTAAATTGAAATTTAATTTAAAAAATTAGATGTAAGGAGTAAATAAAACATTTAAATATTTTTAATAACTTAAATTTTTAAAGAATAAACAGATGACTAAGTATTCATTTAAAGAACATAAAAAATAAATTTATTAGAAATATCAAATTTAGAAATTTTATTAGTAAATATATTAATATATATCAATTTAAAGTCAATTAAAAAATTATAAAAAAATAACAAATAAAGGAAACGGAAAAGTCCTATTCAAAGTATTGTAAATAAATAAATAGTACTTTTGGTAAACTTTATTGTTTGATCTTGATATTAATAGTCCACATGTCACTTAATTAAATTTTATTTCCAAACTAAATGGTATTTTTTTTTAAAGAAATAATTAATGCTTGAGAAAATTTGTGAAGTTTGTTATGCCTAATTACTAAGAAAACTCATTAAATAATGTCTTATAAAAATGATGGAGTTTTAATTTAAATGCATAACCCCTCCCATCCTACACTTTTCAGGAAAAAAAAGGGGTTATTATAATTTTTAATCTTTCAAGTTTACCCTCATTTTGGTTTTGGTTTCGGTTTCTTAAGTTTCAAATCATAAGTTGTAATCCCTCAAAAAGTAAAATGATTCAAGTTTTTATTGAATTACAGGAATCAATATTTTAAATAAAAAGAAACTTTCTTATAGGAAAAAAAAAAGTCACTTAATTGAGGGTATGAATTAAGTTTTTTTAATATCATTCCTATTGTCACTGCCTTTGAGAGATAATGTAATACAGATCTAAAAAATTTCTACTTAAATAAAGCGAATGACTTGACTTTTTCTTGACTCCGGTAGTTAGAGATATCTTATAATGAAAATCAGAATATCATAACAATTTAAAATAACAAATCTATCGCTATGCTCAAAATCTGTTTTTGGCATAGGCATGATGGACCATTCGGAAGACATTCTACCAAAAAAAAAAATTATGATTCCACTCTCAACTTTTCTCTCTATGCTTTTTAAGCTACCAGCAAATTTTCAGATCATTTTGTGTAATTTCCCCTTTCAAAGCTTATGGAGATAATGCATTCACAAGTCTCAAGCGACAACCAAATCTTTTTTCACCGGTGATGTTAGTTTGAGACTTTGCTACTTCAAAATCTGTGATCCAATCGATTACATGCCTGGAAGTGGTTAAATCTGGGAATTTGGGTGCATAAAGTGGTTTTGAGAAGATGAGTTTATTTCTTCAATTTGAATTGTGGTCCATTCATTAGTTGTTTGTTAATTTCCATCTTCCATTTTTCAATCCTTGGAGAACCCAACGAAGTGGATATGAATATGGTTGTTAAGTATGCATGTCTAAATTTTGTTATATTGAAAAGAAAAACGAGACTGAAAATGGTATTGAGAATGGGAAAAAGAACGTAACTTTAAAGTTACGTTTAGTATGGAGTAATACAAATTATAATACTAGAGAGCTTAGTGGCACCGAGGAGTCCTATATAGAATGGGATAGGGATTAGAATGATCCAATATTACCACATACCAAACATAAAAAATTAGTATTATCCAATCCCAATCCCAATCTAAATTTCATTCTTATCCTCTCAATCCTATATATCAAACCGAGCACTATATGTACCGATCCCAATTTGAGAAAAAGTAAATTTTTTTCTAAAATGAAATTGATTGATTTTAGCAGTGATATATTTTTTTGTAGCAAAAACCATTAAAAGAAGAGATGAATATTAAATAGTATGAGTAGCTTGCTTGAAGAGGGATGAGGCGCAAGACTAGGGTGTGGCATATTCAATTATTCGTTTTTTAGGGAAAGCTTGATGTATGCTGAGTCTTCATATAAATGAAGATTGATGGCGTAAAAGAGGATTGCCCTTGAAGAGACGTATTTAGATAAAAATCAAGAATTAATAATTAATAATAACTGTTGTTCGGTTAATTCGTAATAGAAAAAATTACAAAAGAAGACCTTGAAAATTAAAAAAAATTTGTATATAAGGACTAATTCATAAAAATTATCATTTGCTTATTAATTATTGTCAAAATCAATACTAATATTGTAATGAGTTTGTATTTGCAATTTTTCTATTTTTAAAGTTTTTTTTTTTTTGAAGAGACAGCAATTATAGACTAAGCTCGAGAAGTATCTGTTGCAAGAGGAGGTAATGTGGATTCAAAGATCTAGATGTAATGGGTACAATCATAGAGACAAAAATACAAGGTATTTTTATACGGTTACTCAGTGTCGTAAAAGAAGAAAGATTATTGAAGCTCTTCAAAGTGAGGATGGCAAGTGGTGCTATGATCAGGAAAAACTGAAACAGGAAGGTACTAGTTTTTTTCCAGCAATTGTACACCACTGAGGTCTCTTATAGTTTGCCTATTTGTTTTGGTGGGACTTTTTCATCATTAGGAAGTGATCAATTGAATGATATGGGTCGTGATGTTACACCACAGGAAATAAAACAGGCTTTGTTTAGTATGGGTGCATTGAAAGCACCTTGGCCGGATGGACTTAATCCACTCTTCTACTAGAGTCAATGGGACATTATGGGTACGTCGATGATTTAGTTGGTCCAAAGGATCTTTGCTATGCCAAAATTGATAAAGAATATTAATAGTACGAATATTGCCTTAATTCTGAAAGTTGATGTGCCTCAAACTTTTCGGGACTTTAGACCTATCCTCTTGTGTGATGTTGTGTATAAGGTGGTAACAAAAGTTTTAGCGAACCGACTAAAAGGGTTGATGCCATTAATTTTTCTCTGAATCAGCGTAGTTTTGTTCCAAGGAGACAGAGATCATATAATATTATTGTAGTGCAGGAAGTTATTCATTCTATGCAGACTTCGAAAAGGAAGTTATGACAATTAAAATTGACCTTGAAAAGGCATATGACAAAATACGTTGAGATTTTGTTATTGATTGTCTCCGGGAGTTGAATTTGCCGGCTAGTTTTATTAATCTTATCTATCATTGTCTGACCTCAGGTGAGATACAACTCTTATGGAATGGTGCTGAGGGACCAATGTTTGTCCCTACCCGTGGAACTAGGCAAGGTGATCCCATATCGCCTTATTTATTTGTGATTATTATGGAGAAGCTTGCACACCTTGTACAGAACGAAGTTACTCTTGGAAATTGGCTTCCTTTTTGATTGAAGTCCAATGGTACTGCCATCTCGCACCTCTTTTTTGCTGATGGTATAATACTCTTTGCTGAAGCTAATCTTGATCAGGCGAGGCTCATTAAGGCGTGTTTGGATGATTTCTGTGTAGCATCTAGTTTGAAAGCTAATAATTGTAAATCGAGGATCTTCTTCTCCAAGAATGTTCATCATGTTAGAAGAGATGAGATAAGCAAGTTCCTAGAGTTCACCCCTATAGCGGATTTGGGTAAATACCTTGGCATACCACTGCATCATCATAAGGCATCTAACAATACTTATCAGTACATCTTAAGTAAAATGAACCAACGGCTCTCTAGTTGGAAGGCAAATACGTTGTCTATGGCGACGCGTCATACTCTTGTGTCCTCAGTAGTGGTTGTTGTTCCATCATAAACCATGCAATCGACTTTGTTGCTGATTGGGACATGTAATGAGATTGATAAGCGATGCTGAAATTTCTTATGGGGAAGTTCAAACACAGTTAGGAAGGTGCATCTTGTAGCGTGGGATGAAGTTTGTAAAAGGAAGGATGAAGGTGGTTTGGGTATGAGACTTGCTAGAAAGCATAATACTGCTTTTATGATGAAACTTGGGTGGGGGTTGGTGAAAAGAAGATAGGCCCTATGGGTGCAGCTCTTACAGGAGAAGTACAAGTGTGGAAATGATGTTTTACCTAAGATGGAGGGAAGAAAGAATGAGTCTCAGGCATGGAAAGGCATTAAATTGGCTTGAGATTCGACTAAGAAAGGGATTGGCTGGATACTAGGTGATGGGTCTCAAGTGCGCTTCTAGGAAGATGCCTGGCTTCCTAATTACAGTTCACTTGCCTCATTTGTTACTAGAAGACTTGATGAGAATTTGTGTAATACAAAAGTGGCAAAGTACGTCTTGGTGTCAGGAGACTGGAACTGGAACAAGTTCTCTAGCTTTCTGCCTTGCTCAATCTTGAATTGTATTCGTAGATATTACCCATTGGGTCTTGATGGGTCGAAGGATATACCACGGTGGACCGAATCAAGTGATGGGGAATTTTCAGTTAAATCAGCTTATAATCTTCTTTGCAATCATGAGTTTACCCCATTGAAAGGCTTGTGGGGCAAAATATGGAAGTTGCTGATACCTCAAAGATGTAAGAACTTCATGTGGCTTTGTGGACGTGGTCGACTTCTTACGAACTGTTCACGAGCAGTACGGCACATGCAAGGATATATGACATGGGATCTCTGTGGAGGGGAGAGGGAGGATACTCTGCATGCCATACGGGAATGCCGTGTTGCCTCGGCTTGTTGGGAGGCCATGATACCACGGGAGGTGCGGGGGAAATTTTTTCACTCGAATGATCTTGGTAGATGGCTTGACTGGAACATTACGTTTAATGGCAGGATTATGGGAGTGCAGTGGGGTGTTTGGTTTGCTATCTTGTGTAGGCAAATCTGGCTTAATAGGAACTCAGGAGTTTTTTATAAGAAAGCTAAGGGATATTGACAAATCATTGCACAAGCTAAAGCTATATTAGATTGTGCGAATGTCAACATGGAATTGGATCAGAATGCTGTGATATCTAGTCCTCGTTGGGTTGCGCCGCAAGTTGGCTGTGTCAAATACAATGTTGATGGTGCGTGTGTGGGGGTGACTAAGGAGATAGCTTGTGCAAGGATTCCACGAGATCATGATGGCTTACTTTTGGATGGTTTTACATTCAAAATTGGAAAGGGGAACAGTCTCCATACTGAGCTATGGGCGGTGCTTTGGGGCTTGAAGAGATCTTTGGAGCTAAGATGGAAGAGGTTTATCATCGAGACGGACTGTATGGAGGTTATTGATTTGTTGGTAACAGGATGGACTGATAATCACCCTGATAGGAACCTGTTGGAGGAGCTAAAGTGGTGGCTGGAGCATGAGTGGGAAGCTAGCGTGGAATGGTGCTCTAGAGAAGCGAATATGGTCGTTGATATGCTGGCAAAGAATACTTTGAAGTCTGCTAAAGGGATGAACTTTTTCTACACTTCTCCTGAGTGCATTGCGTCGGTTATTAGTGCTGTTTAGTGCTCTTTTTTTTTTTGTTGCAATTTTTCCTTCATAGTATCAGTTAATATAGGGAAACTTATGTAATAGATGCATTTAGCTGTTTGCTGTATGTCATTTTACACAGCAACAACTTGAAACTTGGAGCAACAACAAAAAGCAGAGCAGCAATGTCAAGTTAAAGAAAACAAGTGTTGCATACACAGAGAATCAATCATGTACCACCCACTTGGTGAAAGCACTTGGTGAAAGCAAAAGTGCAACTTACGCAAATATCTCCCCTTGTGTGATATCAGATATGAGGCTAAATCAGCATCCACAGAGGCCAATTTGGATTGGATAAACATCTCTATGCATTTTAAACTGCATGTTTTTATGAGGGAAAAGACATCAATGAAGTTCTTTGAGGTTTTTCTATTGCATATGAATCATGAAACATGATTTGTTAACGAGGATACACTTCTTAGAGTAAAGAATTTTTAGATGTGAATCTCCAACATAGTGATGAAAGTTCATTGAAAAAGTAATAAGAATGAGAGGTGTTAAGCTTTTTATCATCCTGGTGCCGAGGTATTTTTCCGCAGGACCTCCCCTACAGTATCATCACCGCAGTAGAGTTTAACCACCAAGTTCGGGATGGATTGGTGTGGTTCAATTATGAAGCATGAAGAAGAGAATGGCGGAATTCTTGACCCCTTTGTCACTGACGCTTTCACACTCTGTCATTGACCCACTTCTCCTAAAAGTACTGTTAAGACAACCATGATATGATGTTGTGTCATTTTAGTTGTTAATATGAAATTCTAGATTCAAACTTTTGGTCATTGCCAAACGGAAAAACCTAATAATTTAATTATAGCCTTAAAAAATCTAGCTGACAAGACTATTGAGCTATATCAGAGATTTCATAGAATTAGCAATCAAGGAAGCTAAATCAATGTCTCTCCTGGTCAAGTTGGATGAATTTGGTATGCCATTAAAAAAAAAAAATCTAAAACTTGACTTTAGCTTAAGAGATAGCAGCATGACATATTGTAAGATTCATAGTTTAGATCCATGGTATGAATAATTCTACAAAGCTCACAACACAAACCATCACAATCACAATAGTTAGAAATTATGTGAATTTGTTGAGCCCAGGAGAAAATTGCTCTGAAAGTACAATCAAGATGAGGGTGAGAGTAAACTGATCTGTGAATCTGATGGGTACCTTATGAGGAATGTCTAAAATGCACTGTTATTACATATATAGCAGAGAGAGAAGAAGAATTTAGCGTACAGAGAATGTTGGAATGCTCAGTCAGTTTCAGATTATTACATCGCAGTTCCCTTTAAAGCACAAAAGGTTGTGCAGATGAGCAAGAACAATGAGGGGGAAAAGGTCTAAGTTCTTGCATAATTGTTCTTAAATAACCATATTTGGATTTGAAAAAATACCATTATAATACCTACATAGGAACAGAAGAGCCATCATTTAAGAAGCACGGATACTTGCACAAATACAGAACACTACAACACCACAAAATCTGTAGTACGGTGGAATCTGATGTATCGATGCTTCATATCACCACTGTGTTCCTCTATGTTAGGGCATTGGCACCAGCAACAATTTCCAGAATTTCACCTGTGATCTTGGCTTGACGTTGCCTGTTGTATACCCTTGACAAGTTCCTCTTCAATTCCACGGCGTTATCAGTAGCATTGCTCATAGCACTCATTCTAGCAGCTAGCTCACTGGCTAATGACTCCTGCAGTGCTCTAAGAATCTGAGAATTCAAGTACAGAGGCAATAAGGCATCAAGAATCTGAACTGGGTCCTGCTCAAACTGCAAAATGGGAGAGAAATCGTCTGTCTTGGTCCTCAAAACATCTCTCTCAACAGTCAACTTCCCTTCCTTTGTAGTCAACCTAAAGAACTCGTCCTCAGCAGCATCCACACAGTTACCATTCACATCACAGATCTCTCCTCTTGGTGACAGAGGAAGTAGAGTATGAATCACAGGATCGGATTTCACTAAAGACACAAACTTTGTGTATAATAACTCAACCTTGTCAACCTCTTCACTCACAAATAAAGAGAAAACGTCATCAGCAATGGCTTGAGCTTCTTTTGCAGTTGGCAGAGTTCCTTGTTCGAGAAATCTATCCACTGGGATATAAGGCCTACGAATAAAATACGAATTACCCTTTTTCCCAACGCTAATGACAGTATAATCAACACCCAGACCCTTCAATTCTGCGATTCTTGCTTCAGCCTTTTTAAGGATTTGGTTATTGAAACCCCCACAGAGACCTCGATCTCCAGTACAAACAACCAAAGCCACCTTCTTAACAGGTCGAACTTTTGTCAGAGGAACATCAACATCTTCGGTTTGAAGCTGCTCGTTGATATTGTAAAGGACTTCGACAAGGGTCTCAGAGAAAGGTCTGCCATTAACGACAGCTTCTTGAGCTCTTCTGACTTTCGCGGCGGCGACGAGCTTCATGGCCTCTGTGATTTTCTGGGTGTTCTTCACAGAATCAATTCGATCTCTGAGCTCACGGAGACCACACTGGATTTGCGTCGCAGAGGATCGCGAAGGAGATGGGTTCTGAGAAGGAGGGTGGAAAAAGGGGTTAAGGGATGCACGGAAGGAGAGGGAAGAAGCATCGGATAAAGAAGGTTTCGAAGAAACCCACATTGTCAGATTGGAGCAAGACATAGTTGTCGAGATGGGAATTCTCCAAGGAAGAGGAGGAAGAAGAAGAAAGGGAATGTGGATTTTGAATTCGGGTGGTAAAGATGGTGTCTTTTTTTTCTTCTGGTTTTTTATGATCTTATCTTGAAGAAGAAATAGAGATTGTATTTTGAGGTGGAAGGAAGGAGAAGGGGAATGAGTGGAGGGAGAGGAGGGAGCGGATGAGGTTTTAGGATAACGATTTTGACTGTAGGAGCTGAGCCGAAGCTCAAAATTATGATCCGTTATTCATCACTTGTTCTTTGTGTGGGTCCAGAATCTGATGTGGTTTCATCTGAGTGGATCGCAGTGCATGATGGTTCAGGTTTCCATGGGTATATGCGGCTATTCGATGGGTTATTCTCTTCTGAATGTAAAAACCGGGTTCCTCCTTCTACCTTTTCAGTTTTCAATTTTTCATGTGCAGCTTGGGTTCTTTTATAAATCACTTTTAAAAAAATATCAATAAAAGACCTATTTAACTAATTTGATTAGATTAAAAAAGTTAAGTAAGTTAGTTAATTATAAGAAATATGACATGTTCTTCCTAAAATATCATAATCATCTTTTTTAATATCTTCCCTCCCGCTTCTACTTGATTATGTTTGAGGAAGTATTTATAGGGATAATTTAAAAAAAATTGATAAATATTATAAATAAGTTTTATATTTATGACAAAAAACAACTCAACAATTAGGTTCTATATTAAGAACCGTATAAGTATTACAGAAACAACACTTGTAGTTCGTTGTGAGTAGTGAGATTTTCTTCATTGTGCTACCCTTTTCAGTTCGTACAAGATTTTTTTTTTTGGTATTTCTATGCGAGAGCTTTTATTAATGATCTCGACTTCACAATGGGTCAAACTCTTTGGAATAAAATTTAAATGCAGTAACCAATGGAAGTTAGGCTATTAGAAGATACTAGTCCCTCATAATTTCCGGTGGAATAGGCATAAAAATAATATAAATGCTTTTAATTTTGTAACTTCACTTAGTCATGGCATAGATATATGGAACGTAGATTGTAGGGAATCAAAATTCGCATTTTCCTTCTATTTTGGGGCTTTAATGTGGGGAAATTCAAGTAAACCGGCCCAGCCCACTCCCCACTTTCTTTTTCTTTTTTTCCCAACCACTCCCCACTACCTTCATAAGTCATAACGCCCGTGCATAAATAGGTTTGAGCACGAACAAGTTGGAAATGTTGAAATGGTGAATAAAACAGACTCAGCTTAGTTAAATATCAGTTATTTTTACCAAAATACATCTTATTGACCATCATAATGGAACCCCTGAGGAGAAACAAACACCTAAGGTTAGAGCATTGAGGCAAACTACTAGGAAGTCCCACACTCCCACATGATAATAGCAAGGATAATGTCTGAAATTGGTGCGTGCTGAAGATGAGAAATGATTTTGCATACATATTCGCCAGAAAAACTGAAAACATAACCTATTAATACGTGAAGAACTTTATAGGTAGTTAGTACTAGTGTATGTGATAAAAGGAGTGTATGGATGCAATGGAAATGAGACTATAAGGAAATCTGCATCTTGTAACCCCAGGCATCGATCTTATTGTGTTTTCGTGGTTAGGATTGTTGGAGCATTTTCAAGGCAACGCTCATATCAAGAGAGAAATCTCAAAAGCCTTATTCAACATTCTCAAAATTCCCTTGATATCTACCTGTTGCAGAATCGTGAAAATTGACAACAGCAGGATCCAAATGATGCAATACTATATCTGGCATAATGGCAACTTTGACTCGAAATTAAGCATTGAAACGGTAGAAGGAACGGAAGATTTACCTTAGGAGCCAGATATTTTGGTTGCCAAAAGTCTTGTGAATCTATCCTGAGCTATGATGGATGAAGTGAGAGCATTTTTTTTAAAAATGTTTTCTTCTGTTTTTTTTTTTTTTTTTCGTTGGGGGGGGGGGGGTTTAGTTTCTGAGGGTGTTTTTGATATTCATATAAAGAGTACGTTCTGTTCTTGTTGAGATGACTGACAAAGTCAAAGCCATGAGGGCAGAGCTGAAGGAAGTTGTGCACTTTTTACCGAAACAGAGCAATCCATTTCTGTCTTTTCCCTATGTTCTCGTCATTTGATTCTAAAAATGTCCGTTGCCCGAGCGCCCCCCCCCCCCAAAAAAGTCTGTGTTCGCATCATGATTGTGCTAGGTGGTAAAGGCTCATGTATTTTATTTTGTTGTTCTTATTATTGGGATTTCCTAGTTCTAGTTCCCGCTGTTTCTCTTCATTCTGTGTTTTCCCGATGATGTGTGGTTTTGATTCACTTTGTTTTCCATCTGAGAACTTTCACCCAGGACTTTCATCAAACACCTCGCATCCAACAACAAGAAAAACGAAGAAATGGACGAAGCAACGAGGGGGAATTCTAGTTTTGCACAGATACTACAAGAACTTACAGAATTGAGCCAATGAGCAACCACCCCCTCATTGCTAGACTCCTGTGACAACCCATCGAAGAATTGGATCAACAAGCACGGCGAGGGAAGAAAATGCGCTGCAACGGACGAACGAAATAAGAGCACGGAGGGAGCACAACAAAGCAGAAATGGATGGTCACGATCTCCCAAGAAATACTTTCAGTTAGGGCTGAACACAAAACCCGATAACCCGATGAACCCCGTCTGGCCCCCAAAAAAAGAAAAAAAGCCCGATAAAAATCAAGTCAGACTAGGTCTGACCCGAAGACCGGGTAGGACTGGGTTCCGAGTAAGTATGCTGGACTAGTTAACCCGTTCCTACCCGGTGATACATATTATTTTTTAATATATATTAGACATCATATTGATTTTTTTTAAAAAAAGAAAAAGACACAAAAAGTCCAAGTCCCAAAGAATGACACCACTGATTGATAGGGGGTCAGTACCACCGTCCTCAAAACCCAATATGATTTGAAACTCAATTCAAACCCTAAGCCTTAGGTTTTTGGCACCTTCTCTTTTCCTCCTCCCACTCCCGCTTCCCTCTCTCTTCTTTTTCTCACTTCCCTTCTCCGTTCCTCCTCCCATTTCCCTTTTCTCTTCAGCGCCTTTAATCCTTTCACTTCCCTTCTCCCTTCCTCCTCCCACTTCCCTTCTCTCTTCAATCTACTGCTCAAATGCTCAATACTTCCTTTCACTATTGTAGACTTGCAACCCCTTCTTCAGCCTCTTTGTCATCTTTAAATATTCGTCCTTAAGCTTATTATTGTCCTGCTGTATTTTATTCTTACTAATGTGACGTGGAACAGTTATGGTGATAAATATAAATAGAGTCCTATCTCCTCCTCTAATTCTAATTTTCTATGTTTTAATCAGTCTTCTTGAGGTCTTGTGGCCTGGGTGATTTTTCATCATGAATATATTTCTTTTCCAATTCTTTATATATGTATGAATTTTTACTCTTCATACATCGTCACACTCATTTTTCTAACCCAACTGGATCATTATTCATTAACTTTGGTTGAAAAAAAAGAAAAGAAAATGGACCATTAGCCCGATCCAATCCTGTCTGGCCTGCCCAACCCGATGGGTAGCGAGTTCTCCACCGGGTTGGACCGGTCTTTGGGCTAAAATGGCCAGCCCGAAGACCAAATTGGACCAGACCACGGGCTAATGTCCTGCCCGGCCTGGTCTGGTCTATGTTCAGTCCTACTTTCGGTGCTTCTCATAAGATGCGAATCCAATTTAGGCATTTCAGATTTAATTTTTTTATTTTTTTAAAATTTTATTTCTTTTAATGGATATGATATTTAAATTAAAATAAAAATATTTTAACAATTACTCGACCTATTTAGAAGGTAGAGAGAAGATTTTTCTTAATTCTTTTTATAAGTCACTTCATTAAATTTTTAACATAAATGTACTATTTTTTACTTATTATAGCAAAAATAATTATTTTTTTAATGTGTATATATATTAAATAGGAATAAAGTTAAAAATATAATATATTTTAATAAAGAGTTAATACAGTTTAAAATTTTTTTTAGGATATGTAAATATGCTGAAGTGTCTTATCAATAGGATAATGAGAGTAATTTTGTTAACAAGAAATATATATATTTTAATTTAGAAATCATCAATTGTTGTACCAAACAAAGGTCGGTAGGCACAATTTCTACACCTTTTAAATGTGGTAAAAACATAGTTGCAAAAAAAAAAACAGTTTTTTAAAATAACAATATCTTAGTCTGACATATTTAATTAATTTTTATCAGTTTTTGGTAAACAAAATCATTATCAGTTTGATCATAATTCAATCATGATTGGACGGATAAATTTCAGATATGTACTCCGTCGTCCATAATTCAATAACTCATGTTCACTTTAATTAATTTATTCGGATTTGATTCATTAATCAATTATTTAATTTGTTCCAATAAAGCACAATATACACATAACACTACTTTACTATTATTTTGGCCATCAACACCTAACGTGACTGAAAGAGACAGATTGGTGATAGTGCTGTTGGTGAAGGATAAGATCCATTTACGACCATGTTTTTTGGCATAAATTAAGGATTTTTTGTCTTGCACGGAATAAAGCGAAATCACGCCCTAATTAACTACTTAACCTTTCAACTATATATATATATATATATATATATATATATTTATATAAAGATACTCTGGTCTTCATTTTTCTGAACTATCTGGTTACCAAATCACCGTCAACTTTCTGATATTTGAAGAGCTTCTTGTGATCGATGGAGGTGAAGAACATGAGCAGCTCAAACCATACAGGCGAAATTGCCAATGGCCGTATTGGCAAAGGTACATATAGAAACATATATGTATATATACTACTCCTCTCCTGAACAAGCTTGATCATTTTAATTTAAGGTTTCTGCGTTTGTTTCTGAACAAACGATCCCCCTCTTTGTTTTTTTCTGAAGAGTTTAAGTTTCTGATCAGATTCTGGTTTGTGTCTTGATCTGTCATCCCTGTAATGATTCTCTCTTTGTTGTCTGTCAGAGACAAGAGCTGAGGAGGACGCTCATCAGCAGCGGGGATTCTCAGAAGATGAGGAAGAACTCGTTGCTAGAATGTTCAGATTGGTTGGCAAAAGGTTCCTTTAATTTGTTTTATATATATATACTCCTCCTATCCTTAATATAGGACCCAATTTTTGAGTTGATTTTGGTCCTAAATATAAGACACATTTTTCATATTTATCAATTTTCTCTAAATTACCCCTATGAATACTCCCTCAATCATAATCAAGTAGAAGAGGGAGATGGGGTATTAAGAAAAATAATTATGATATTTTAGGAAAAATGTGTCACTTTTCTTATAATTAACTAACTTACTTAACTTCCTTAATCTAATCAAATTAGTTAAATGGGTCTTATATTAAGGACCGGAGGAGTATGTATGTATTTATCTTCTTACTTGTTATCCATTTCTTTCAAATTAATTTTTCACACACACACACACACAAAGCACTCACAGAGTTTGCAATCGATTGTAAAGTTCTTCAGAAGCTTGGAGAAAGAAGAGAGGAAAAAGGAGAGTGTGAGACACGTTCACGTATAGTTTTTGAACACTTGCCTGCTCTTCTGTCACTTTCGCTTCCTTCCAACCTAGGGTTTATATTATTCATCAAAGCCAACTAAACTAAAATATATACCAGGTGAATATGGATTCAGTACTCCTAAAATATGTGTTCAATTGCATCCGGTATTTAAAAATATTTTGTTATGTATCTGGCACTTTCAAATATTTTCTTCAAGTGTATTCAGCACTCTTGATTATTTTTTTGCGCAATTTTATACTTAACAATTTGAAGTAAAAGATTCGTCAACAAATAATTTAGGATGCTGAATGCATATTAAAAAAATACTTTAAATGCTGAATACACCACAATATAATTTAGGACTTCTTGATTATGCAGAGATTCCTCAGATGATGAGATTATTATAGTGATCGAATTGTAAATTTTATTATGTTTTTTGGTTGGTGGGTTTGACTTGTTGCAGGTGGTCTTTGATTGCTGGGAGAATTCCTGGAAGAACTGCGCAAGAGATAGAGAAATACTGGAATTCAAAGTGCCCTTCATGAACTGCTTAATGTCTTATAAATAATTAAGTGCCTTGTAATTTAATTTTACTTCTTAAGTTAGTTGGGCGTAGTATCTAATATCTATATCTATATCTACTCAAAATTATTACAATGAATAATGAATATATAGATTTTAGTTGCGCTTTACATACATGTTCTTTTGTTTCCGGTTGTTAAAGGAATATCAAATTCTATTTTTTAAAGTTATAAAATAAAATATCTAGTACTATAATACTATCTTCGGTTCTTAATATAAGAGTTAGTTGTGAATTATATTTTGTTCTAAATATAAAATCTCGATTCACTTCATCTTTCAAATTCATCATTCATTCTCTAAAATTTTCTTATTGATTACTCGTATCAAGAAATTCTATAATTTAGATAATTCAATCTATATTTATTACAAATAACTTACTTAACAAATCTTTTTGATCTACTCAAATTAATTAAGTAATTCTCATATTAAAAGCTGGTATTGTCAAGGTGTACCTCCCACTAAAAAACAGAAAATTTAAAAACAGGATTTGTAAAATTTTTACTTAAAATAAGTTATGAGTATATTGGATTAAGACATGCTAACTAAAAATTAAGAGTTTAAGACATAAACAGAACTAATTGGAGGGAAAGGTTTATCAATTTTTCATTCCTAAACAATGAGAGGGAAGCAAAATTCCTCCCCTTCGTTTGCTTTGGCCTTTGGGTCAAGAACGTTCCATGAGATGTTGAGACAACTTTCCTGTGAAATCCATATTCCTCGCGAGACAGAGAGAAAAGTAAAAGCCCATTACCTGAACCTGAGCCTCTGTGACCAAAGAGCAAGAGAGACATCCCTGAATTGCCCCGTTTGCCTCCTCGCTCACTCGGACCACTTCTCCCCGCTTTCAGAGGTTTATGGGTGGGTTTATGACTATGCAAATAGGTTCAGAAAAGTGAAAACAGGGACAAAGCAATGGACTTCGAGAAGAGGAAGGCGGCAACGCTAGCTTCTCTTAGCTCAGTGGAAGCTGATAAATCGCCAAAAGGCTCCTTGGACACACCCATCATCCCTCTCCTCAACACCATCAATCAACACCCTTGTTTCTACACTACCAGTTCATGCTCTGGCCGAATCTCTATCCTTTCGCAACCTTTATTGAACCTCAACACTGATGAGCAAAAACCCAAGAAAAAGGCTAGAGGAGGTTCTTGGCTCTTCGTCTCCCACGATCCTGCTGATCCTGATTCAATACTCAACCTCCTTTTCCCCTCCAAGCCAACTCCGTCTTCTGTTTCAACTGAGCCGTCTGAACTTGTCTTCAGATTCGAGCCCCTCATCATTGCTGTTGAGTGCAAAGACCTCTCTTCGGCCCAGTCGCTTGTTTCTTTGGCTATTTCTTGCGGGTTCAGGGAGTCGGGCATTACTAATGCTAACAAGCGTGTGATTATAGCAATTCGGTGTTCGATAAGATTAGAGGTGCCTCTAGGGGATACTCACAAGATTATGGTGCCGCCTGAGTATGTTCGGTACGTTGTTGAAGTCGCAAATGATAAAATGGACGCGAATAGGAAGAGAACCGAGAGGTTTTTTGGATTGTTGCAGTCCAATGGCTTTGTAGGATTTATGGCTGCGGATAATAGTAATAATATGTCTATAAATGAGTCATTGAATCCTACTGATGTTTCCGTGCATGAAGAAGGCCTCGCTTGTGATAATGTTAAAGTTGGAGATGATGATGAGTTAGAAAAGAGGAATGGTGAAACCCCTTCAGGTATCTATGTAATTTACTGTTTTCAGCATTTGTGAGCTGTACAAGCCAAGTATGATTTGCTTTCTGTGATAGATTCACTCCAGTTCTTTTCATACTGGTGGCTTCAGGCTTGAAATTCTATTCTGTGATTGGAGAATGCTTGCCTGAGTACTCTCTGGTCTTGAGCTTATCTAGTAATGATAAAAATGTGTCACTATGAATTTGCAAATGTAATCAAATAAGTACTCATATTCGACATGAAACTGATTGCAGGACGACATTACTTTTAGTATCAAACAAAAGTCTGAATCCTTCAATTGTTGGCAGGGCTTGAGGATTTTCCTGGTTGTAGTCTGCAGATCGTCCATATTGAAATTGTTGGTGAATCGGCAGAAAAGCTTTTCCTTTGGGGTCATTCTGCTTGTGCCTTGGATAATGCCAGCCACAACAAAGTAGTCGTGTTTGGTGGCTTTGGAGGCATGGGGAGACATGCAAGAAGAAATGATTTATTGCTGCTTGATCCATATTCTGGTAATCTGGAAACAATCAGAACTGTTGGTGATTTGTCATTATCTCCCCGCCTAGGCCATACATCTTCCCTGGTTGGAGATGACATGTTCTTGATTGGAGGCCGGACTGGCCCTGATAAGATTCTGAGCGAAGTTTGGGTCCTTGATACAGCTAAGAATTGTTGGAAGTTAATGCAATGTGGAGGCAGTGACTTTCTTCCCAGGTAATGCTTTCTAGCATCCTTCTTTTGTAGCCTTGAATGAGAAGCACCAATGAAACAAGTGAAAATGAGAAGAGTTTATATTTTCCTAGTGGCAGGAATTTAATTCATTTGCATAGATTCTCGCAACTCAATGGAAAGTGTGTGTTCTAATGTCATTTCCTGTGGTGTGATTGCGTAAACTCACCTCAACGAATTTTATATCTAAATTTTCATGTTGGATAGGCATCGTCATGCTGCAGCTGTTGTGGGCTCAAATATTTATATATTTGGGGGACTCGATAATGATAATATATTTTCCTCCCTTTATATTCTCGACACAATTAACTTAACGTGGAAAGAGGTGCCAATTTCTGGGGACTGGCCCTGTGCTCGTCATTCTCATGCAATGGTGGCACATGGTTCTCAGATCTTCATGTTTGGTGGACACAATGGTGCAAAAGCACTTAATGATCTGTATAGCTTTGATATTCGGAAGGGTCAGTGGAAAAAAGAAAAGACCACTGGAAGGAATCCCCATGCTAGGTTTTCCCACTCAATGTTTGTCTATAAAAATTATCTTGGAGTTATTGGTGGTTGTCCAGTTAGACAGAATTTTCAAGAGGTGGCTTTACTTGATTTGAAGCTTCGCCAATGGAAGCATGTAACCCTTAATTCTGTTGGCAAGGATTTATTTGTGCGCGGTACAGCTTGTGTCATTGGCGATGATCTTGTTATTGTTGGTGGTGGTGCATCTTGCTATGCATTTGGAACCAAGTTTAGTGAGCCAGCAAAAGTTAGTTTGCTCCCTTTAATGCCTTCGTGTGATGATCATATAGATGTTAAAAACAAAACAGTGCTTATCAATAATCAAAATGATGGGGAAAATAAGACTATGATCCAAAATTTTGAAGAACCGCAACTTGAGCATGTACTGGATATAGCTGACAATGGTAGCATGCATCCTGATGATGAATCACCTGTCACAAATGACCAATTTCAGATGGCTACATCACATCATGTTCTGAAGCTAGACAAGAGATTTGCAAAATTAGGGAAGGATATATTGAAAGAATTTGGATGGTTGGACCTAAGTAGGAAAGCATACTCACAGGAGGATGGATTACATATCTGTTTTCCTGTGAGTAATGATTTTTTTCATATATTTCATGCAAGGAAGAATCGTTCAGGAGACACAATTGAAGGAAAAGATGAAATCTCCAAGACATCTAAAGGAAATGGATGCATGTTGAGTGACTTATCTGGTCCAAAAGCCTTGAGTCTTTTACATGAATATGGTGCAAATATACAGGAAGACGAAGTTGTTGAAGTCAGAAAAGCTGCAAAAACTCCTTTGAAAGTGATGACTGAAGCAATAGCCACTTTGATTGAGCAACATGGCCTCCCTGCGCGGCTGCTAGAGGAATTACCGACAAGGTTCTGCTATATTTCTATTAATTTTCTTTTGTGATGGCTCATTTTCTCTTTCAAGGTTCTATGCTTCATGCCTTTAGTATTTTTGTTTATGAGTGCAATCACTTTGATAGCATGTTTTCTAGCCATCTTATTTCATTAAACTTTCTAGGTGGGATCGACTTGGAGATATTGTTATACTTCCAACTACGTCTTTCAAAGATCCAACGTGGAACTCCATTGCAGAAGAGCTTTGGCCCACTGTTGCCAAATCACTTAAGGCGAATCGCCTTGGTCGCCAGGTAACTATGTTTATCATCAATTCATAAATATATGTTTTCTTTTACTTGGCCTGGGCTTCAACTTTTTAATTCAATAGCTGATAGATGATGAATGCTCAAGCAAGCAATTATAGTTCATGGAGAAATTAAGTCAAATCAACAAATGTATGAATAAAGCTGGGACATCTGCATGTTTTGCGTCTTTTAAACAACTCATCTTCTAAGTATGGAAAGATTGATGATCCTCCAAAAGTGCTGACCGTGTTCTCTGTGAGATCAGCTGATGTGTGCAAGTGTTTTACACTCAGTAAACTTAATAATTGGCGTGTGCCTGTTTCATAGCTTGATTGCTTTTAATCTCTATACGCTGAAAATTTCTTTATCTAGGCAAGCATGAATGCACAGCTTCCCTCCCCCCTCCCTCTCTCTCAAGATTTGATTATCATGTTGAACTTTGCAGTGATTGCCTCTGAATTCTTTTCTTCTTCTTGTTATGAGCCAAATCTTTTAATTAGATGCTTTGTGTAGACAAACAATTAGAGTACTAGCACACTGCATAAGTGGCACCTGTTGAATGTTCCATCATTCATAAGCATGATATTATTTTTTAAGTTGCTTCGTATAGTTGGAAAATTGGGGTTTCTGTTACTATCAAAATCTATAGATATACTTCTTTGAACACTTTGGGACTAAAAATATATTCTGTAGCAAAATTTGTTTTTGTAGAAAATTTTGCTATTGTAGATTTGGCATAAATAATATTTGTGGCGAAGATCCAAGAATATCTCATGATGATATGTGAAACATGTATATCGTAGCGGAATCACTAAAATTGTGTCAACTGTGTAACTAAAGGTTAATTTTTCCCGGATAAAATTATGAAGGTAAGAAGAGGAGGAACCTGTGGCAACACATGTAGGCTATAAATAACCTTTCTTTTTTGAAAAACAAAAAGGATTAATTTGTAGTTGCATCACATTTTTCAAACATACCTATAAACAAGCAACGCATGGATCTACTAGGAGTGGGATCTAAGGATGATGAAATCATGGAATTGTCAGTAAATTTTAATCATCAAAACACTTTTTTTAAATGTTTTAGTTAGTTATACATCTGAAAATTATTTTGCCTTCGATAGGATTTCAGTATCTTTAGAGTGAATTTATTTATTTATGAATACTAAGATGGCTATTATAGGGGCCAGTTGCAGCAAACGGTACAAGAGATAGTACATTGCAGATTCTCGTTGGAGATAATGGATGGGTTGGCCATCGGGAAAATGGAATACTCTATTCTTTTGATGCTAGCAAGTGCATGTTCTCATGGGGCAATCTTTCTGAGAAGCTTCGGATGGCCCGATTAGATTGTCAGGATGAGATTATAGTAGATCTGTTCGCAGGCATTGGATACTTTGTGCTGCCATTCCTTGTCAGGTACTTTGTACCTTACATTTCCTATACACAGGGCTGTGCAATTTTGTGAATCTTAAATTACAACCTCCTGCAAAAATTTTGTATAGCCTGACACAAACACCCTTTGTATGCCTTCAATATTATGCCTTCGATTTGGCTGTTAGCTATCTTTATACTTACGCTTTGTGAGCTTCCTTTAAAATTGACGATCTATTTTTATTCCTCTTTTTGCGTGATCTTGAGCAGGGCCCAGGCAAAATTTGTATATGCTTGTGAGTGGAATCCTCATGCCGTAGAGGCGCTCAAACATAATCTGAAAGCAAATTCTGTGACTGACCAATGTCTCATTCTTGAGGGAGATAATCGAAGTTTGGCTCCCAAAGTATAATCTCAAGTTTATTTCTTCTTTTGTTGATCATATTTACATCATCTCTTAAATGTCAATATGATTTCGAAATCTTCATTTGGTATGTAATGTTTCTTAAAAAGTCATCCAAGAAATATTAAGGGATTTTATTACTATATAACAAATAATTAAGAAATGAAAAACTGAAGAATAAGTACTAATGTTTTGACGTATTCTTATCAGATTACTATTCTGATAACCTTTAAATCGAAGTTTGGAAAGAGAGTGACAGTGTGGAAAATTTAAGTTGAATGTGATATCTGTCTCTTTAATTTGTATGAAAGGAGAACGTGAAAAGGAATCATTAGACCCTTGCTTGATAATGATATATACACAGACACACACATGCAAACATGCTTTGACTTAACTCATGAATCTGTTCTTCACTTTTCTATACTCTGCATGCTGACAATAAGCACTGGTACAGGAGGAAAAACTGGCCCATCTGTTTTTTAGCATCCGTACATGGACAGGGAAACGACTTATTTTTTATTGTTTCCATCCAGGGTGTTGCTGATAGAGTTTGTCTGGGTCTCCTTCCGTCTAGTGAATGTAGTTGGGTCACAGCCGTGAGGGCCTTAAGGTAATTGGATTGTCTTTGTGCATAAGGTCTTTCTATAAATGTATCTGGTATCACTCTGTTGTCAAATATAGACAATCTTCCAATCCTGTGTCAACCGCAGCATTTATATTTCCTCGGCAGTCTAATTTGAAAGTTGCATGGTTGTTTGGCGCCATATAGTTTCAACAAAGTTGGAACTGAACTTCAATTAGCAAAACACAAGTTGAAAATGAACTTGTTATGTAATCGACACTGCAGGAGTGAAGGTGGAGTGCTACACGTGCATGGAAATGCAAAGGACACGGAGGAAGGCCGGTGGACAGAGCACTTGTTGAAGTCAATACAAGAAATTGTTAGGTCTGAAGGTAGGATTTAGGAACTTCTTGACCCTGAGGATCTGGTTCTTGGAAGAACTGATGTTGAAACCTTGCTGATGTGATTTCTACAGGTTATTGTTGGGAAGTTTCTATAGAACATGTGGAGAGGGTTAAGTGGTATGCTCCACGCATTCGCCACCTTGTTGCAGATGTAAGATGCAGACAGACCCAAAGATAGGGAATGGCAATATATTCAAAAGTCTTCGGATATACCATCCTCAGTTATAGAGCCTCTGCTGATCTACTCTGATCCCAGTCCACACACACAAATGCCTAATCTGAATCATGCAAGTCCAAAGAATGCTGTGGAACAAGTGAACGAACTGAGTTAATTGGACTGGTAAATGTTGTAGATGAAGCAGAAAGGAGATTGAATGGATAGTTTCTGGTTTTGGTAGTGATAATTTATATTGAAGTTTCTGTGCCGTTTGCTGCATATGCTATTGCGATTTGTGTTCTTAATGCTCATCTTTATGTTTCGAAATGGGTCTTTTATCTGGTTTCTAAAAAGAGTGGACCTTGTCGAATGCAAAAATAATAACTTAACTTCAATAAGTGAGGCAGCTGCATAAATTATATAATGAAATGGTACTCCATTTGTAACCCACTCTTGTAGCATGCTGTTAACCAAAAGATCTCAATCAATGATTATTAACAGATCAATAAGGAGGTTATCTGTAATAATTTACTACCTCTAACATTTAATATAAAAGTTAGTTGACTAATTTAAATATATTAAGATAATTAGTTAAGTTAGTTATTTATAATAAATAGGTGTTATTTTTTTAAAAATATTTTTACTAATCAAATGTCATTTGATGAAATATTTAACATATGTAACTATTATATGGGTTTCATTAAAAGTAAAGATAAATATATAAAAAATAAATTGAAATTTTATATTTAATATTAAAATAAAAGCTAAATAAATTTTTATATTAAGAATCAGAGAAATAGTACTGTTTAAACACAATCTTCTTTTATCCTTCCAAAACGTAGGAGGCACAGGGTTGGACAGGGTCTTGTCTTTCACAGTAAAAAGTGGAAAGTGTGGGCTTGACAAAGAATTTAGAATGACATTGTGCCTGCGACAAGAGTCAATAAATGGATTTGGATTCTCTCCACTTCTTCTCTCATCTTCTTTTCCTTCACTATCCTCTTAGGCCCTTTACAATCATTGGATCAAAACTTTAATGGTCCAGATTTAATATTTTACAACATTTTATAAAAATAAATATAATTATAAAAATAGATAAATAAATTTAAACTATTAAAATCTAATTTGAACAGCTCATATCTACATATTATTATTACAGAGCAAATTTTTTTCAACTTTTTTTATTACAGTTATTAACTGTTTAGAGCATATTTTAACATTTTAAATTTATTTATTTATTTTTTTAATAATATTATTTTTATAAGATATCAAATCTGAATCGTTGGAATTTTGGATCCAATGGTGTGAAGGGAAAAAGAGGGTGGTGGAGAGGAAGAGGATGAAAGAAGAAGTGGAGAGAATCCAAATCCGTCAAGAACTATAACTTTCATCTTTCCCTAACGTTGTTATTTGCTTCGTTTCATATTTAATGTCATAGTTTCTGTGTGAGAGTTGAAGTTCATGACTACCTCGTATCTTTAATATAAGAGCTAATTTGATATTTAATTTAGTTCTAGATATAAAATTTTAATCTATTTTATCTCGTATTTATTTTTTAAGATAGTCTTTGTAGTAGTTACACATATTAAAGATTTCATCTAATGGTAATTCTAACTAATACACATTATTAATAAGGATATTTTAAAAAAGACAGCACATATTTATTACAAATAAATATCATAATTAATTTGTTGATCTATTTAAATTAATTAATTAGTTTTTATATTAATGACTGTTCATTAGTAAGCTTCTTTTCTTAAACATTATAATATATACATAAATATTTATAAAATATAATCTCATATATAAATATACTACCTCCAGTTCTAATTACAAAAGCCAATTGACTAATTTGAAAAGATTAAGGAAGTAAGTTGAGTTAGTTATTTGTCCTAAATAGGTGTTATTTTTCCTAAAATATCCTTACTCAGTAAGTATATTGACTAGAACTATCATTGTTAAAAGGGCTACTTTGAAAAAAAAAATATAAATATGAAAAACAAAATGAATTGGGGTCTTATATTTATGATCAAAATAAAAATCAAACAGGATCTTATATTAAAGTTCCGAAGTGATATAATAAAAGTTGCATGGATCATCCTATTATGCTTGTTGACATGACATTTTGTCTTTTTGTCATTTCAAATTTTTACCACTCCGATGCACTGTTGCACAAGGCTCATGCTAAAATAAGTAACATAACAAGTCTAGCAGCGGCATCATCATTGGGCTTCTCCTTTTGGTGTCTAATGCAATGTTCTTTTTTCAAAAAAAGTTAAGAAAATGAAGGAACTGGGTCCAGTTAAAAAAAAACTAATTCTTTACAATGCGGTTAATTTACACTTAAAAAGAGGATCCACGTCTAATATCCCAATATTTAAAATAGAAAGATATTTATGCCCATGAAAAAGGAGGGACAAGGAGGAAGCAGGACTGTTACTTATGGCATAATTACTACATCTGGACTTCAAAATAAAGCCAGCGGGGCATGTGACTTGATAGGTGGAACAATTAATTAATGGATTGGAGGGACAGGATCTCAATTATTAACAGAGAATCTTTATACTACCTCAGCTGGTTAATATAAGATCTTGTTTGACTTTTAGTTTGGTCCTAAATATAAGACCCCAATTCATTTTGTCTCTCATATTTATTCAATTTTTTCCAAGATAGTCCTTTTAATAATTATAGTTCTAGTTATTACACTTGATTAGCAAGGATATTTTAGGAAAGACAACACTTATTTAGGACAAATAACTAACTCAACTTACTTCCTTAATCTCTTCAAATTAGTCAACTGGCTCTTATAATTAGGACCGGAGAAAGTATAACATAACAAAAACGGAAAGTGTCTGTTACCCCAAAGAAAACGGAAAGTGTCTAATCTGTCTAATGGGACACTAAACAACATGTTTCATTAAATTGTAAATTATTATAAAATAAATAAATTTTATGAATTTAGAAATTTAATAATGAAAAACTTTTAAAGATCTTATAAGGAAATCTCTACTGCTGTTTTCTAAAAATATTATCCATTTGATTTCCTTTGCAATTATAGTGTACTCTTCTCTCTTCTTTATATTACAACTTTTAGTGAGCTATTAATTATCTGGAGTGTAAAACTCTTAACGTCTATTCACATTTATCATAGAATTTAAATTTAGAAACCAAAAAAAAAAAATGAATGGCTCACATGATAGTTGGAGTGAATCCAAAGCTATTGCACTTCCCTAGAGAAAAGAAAGTAACATTAAAAAAAAGATACAAAGAGCAATAAATAAATAAAGTAATCAAAGAGTAAAATGTTAGTTAAAATATTTAGAAAAAATGACAAAAATACCGTTAAAATAAAAAAAATTATAAATAAGAACCTGTAATAATATTTGTATGGGTTTTAACAAAAATAATATAAATTTTGATGATAATTTTTATCAACTGGTCTTTATGTGTAATTTTTCTATTTTAGCAGCTTTTTTTAATTATTTTCTCGATTATTTATTTTGATTCATCAAGGGGCAACAGAATAAATAATATTTAATTAACAATTCATTAAAGTAATGTAGGGCCTTTAATCACTCACCACCCCCAAGGAAAAAGGAGGGAACCTAACTCCTTCACGATGATGATGTAATTATGCGGGGATTGCACGCTCCTAATTAGAAGATAAGCCTGAATTGTTAGTTATATTTATCTGTTATAAATATTTATATTATTTATTTAATCAAAATGTTGACCATATTCATATATTTACTTACAATTTGCTTGTCTTTTATTCCTGAAAATTTTTTTAAAAATTCATAAAATATGCAGTATATTTATCTAAAAAATCACATTATGTTTTTATCAAAACATTCTCTATTTAAAATTTAACGTAATTAAAACAATAATTAAGTTCATGAAGTGTGTATTTTCCAATGTTAAGTTCATAAGCCTTTTAAATTTAAAAAAAAAAACTATAGAGAAACTAAAGTGCATGTTAATTTTTTTTAATTTAAAAAATAATCAAACTTCATTAGGATTTTGTTTCAGCTATAAAAAAAATTTTAGAAAAGAGACAAAAACCATTTTGCAAATACATATACTTTCCGTTAATTTTTAATCTGGTGTCTATAATATATAGAGGTTACCGATAAGCAAAGTTAAAGATTTAATTTTTTAAAAAAATCAAATTCAAACCGAAAATAAAAATAAAAGCAGTGAGATAGTGACAATGGGACAATGGGAGGCGTCGTGATTACAAATGGACCATTGTAAAGTGTCGGTGATGAGTGATGAACGGTCCAAAACACAAAAGCTTTAATGGTCCTCCTTCAGCGTTCACAGATTAGGCTCCCTCCACCTTTCATTCGTTAATTGCTTTTCTTTTTCTTTTCTTTTCTTTTTTTAAATAAAGTACTCCTCTAATCCTTAGTATAGGACATAATTCTTAAATTAATTTTGATCCTAAATATAAGATTTATCTATCATATTTATCAATTTTTTCTAAATTACTCTTATGGATACTCCCTTAACTATAATCAAGTAAGTCAGAAAAGAAGGATATTGAGAAAGATGATTATAATATTTTGAGCAAAACATATCATACTCCTCCGGTCCTTATTATAAGACCCCATTTGACTTTTTATTTGGTCCTAATTATAAGACCCAAATTCATTTTGTCTCTTATATTTATGCATTTTTTTCCAAGATAATCCTTCTAATAATGATAGTTTTAGCCAATATACTTAATTAGCAAGGATATTTTATGAATGACAACACTTATTTATTATAAATAACCAACTTAACTTACTTCCTTAATCTCCTCAAATAAGTCAATTGGGTCTTATAATTAGAACCGGAGGAGTATTTCTTATAATTAACTAATTTACCTAATTTTTCTAATCTAATCAAATTAGTTAAATAGATCTTATATTAAAAACAGGAGTCCTAAAACTCATGAGGCTAGGTAAACTCACAAACAGGGTGTTCACCAGCCAGTCCCAGAAGTATGCAATGTTGATCCGAACATGATAAAATTATGCTTTGTCCAGCACTAAAATAAAGGTCCAAAAGATAATTGGGGCATTTTTAGGACCAGCCAAATATCAGGCAGGATCAGGTATCAAGCAAAGTATGCTACCCTGCCCAAAGTTTTATGCGTGTATATGTTATGGATTTTAATACTTAAGTTGTTGATATATTTGATCATAGATATGACCTACTGTGTTGTGTTTGATTATGTAATTATAATTATATATGAAATGTGTGGACTAGTAGTGTAGTATTTATATTTCCTCTCTTAGAATATTTTTAAGTTGTGAAATTATAAAATATATTTAGAGTCTAAAATATTATTTATCAGGTTTGAAATAAATT